ATATATATTAAAATATCTTGTGCTTTAATTCACTTATTTTCTTATATGATATATGAAACTAGATCACATTCCTTTGAAGAGAGGCAACAAATAATTTTAAACCTATGCTTCAAGATTTGAAGCAAATTTCATTTAGAGATATTCATCGCGGCTGAAAATCTGCCGCAGCGTTAGAAGAAAAGCTACTGCATCGCTATGACTTATAAAAAAACAATTGCCGCACGGCTATTGCGCCGCGAAGACTTATTTAAAAAAGTTGTCGCGATGAATTGTAAGATAAACTTGCCGCTGCCGCTGCCGTGCCGTGCTACCATGAACATCTCTGATTTGATCATATTCTTTTTAATTCAAAGGAAACAAACAATTGAAAAAAAACAAGTTTTCTACCAAAGAACTACTTCGATTAGTGAGCTGCGGATCTATGTTTTTGTGGATCCAGACTCGAAAAAAATTTAGAATTTGAACTCGAACTCGATGCAGATTCGAAAAAAATTAAAAATTTGGACCCGTACCCGGTCGGATCCAAACCCAAGGTTTTTTCCATCAATACCTGGCACCCTTCATCCACATGAACAGGCAAGGAATCAAGGTTTTAGCTATTTATTTGCTACTCTCAGGGAAAAAACTCAACGTATAGTTATATCTTATTGCTGGATTTCTCATCTGAGGAGCAGAAAGTTCACATAAACGGATCACTGGACCAAACAAAAAATAAAAGGTTAGATCCGGATCCGACAAAAAAAATCCAACTTTGGACCCGGGTCCGAGTCTGGAAGGACTCACAGCTCCCTAACGTCGATCATATTCATTTATAAGAGACGAAAGCAACAATTCAGAGACACGTTTCAGAAACAAAATAGAGTTCAGTTATATTCATTTTGTACGAAACATGTATGTCTCAGCATTAGAAACAAAATTGGTTATATTCATTTTGAAGGAAAGGAGACAAGATTAAACTGTAGTAATGGTGTAAGTAGAGTGAAATATGAGTATGAGCCTTCTGTTCGTATTAAGGGGGGGAAAAGCAAAAATTCCATACTGCACTGTATTTCAAGAATAAGTAAAAGCTCTCCTTTAGAACTTTTATGCTATATCAGGTCTACTATGAATATATGTAACGAACATATTAGTCCGACTTCATTTTCTATAACTTTGTACGTACAATCCAATAAAGAATCTTCCTCATTGGTTAGAATATTGATCGAATATCCATTTATTTTCAGAAAAATAATCGACAGATGGACGATTGAATTGCAAAAAAAATTGTTTCAATAAAGGCATGGGTGTGCGTGTAGATCTGTGGATGTGGTTCTTGTCTTCACCCATATCCTCAAAAGGTTAAATTGATGTTGAGAAAATCGTAAAATATGGAGATCATTGACTTTACGTGAACTGAATTTTAACTTTTGAGAATAAGTTATCAGTGCTCAGGTTATAGTTCTTCATAGACTCAAATAGAAAGTCTAATATTTTTATTATAAACTTTCAGGCTACTTTTTATCGGATGACAAAACAAAATCCTCATTTACAATAATCAAGAAGAGAAATATATACATCTCTATGATGTTTTGTGTCGTGAATATTCTTTTAATTATTCATTTCAACAAAAGGTTATCATTCATTCATCTTAATTTTATTTTTATTATTTCAATAGAAAATTTATCCACATCACTATGAACCATCAAAGTTAAGTACAAACAGTAAATTGATATTGTAAATTGTAGCATATTTTGATTTCTTTCAAACGACCCTTTGAATCCGTGTCGACTCGAACTGCTGATGCAAATAATTTCGGTGCGTTGAGTGTAACAAATGTATTTTTGATTGCTGCCCCTGATGCTGTATTTAAAAAGTTATATTCTGGTAAATTAAGACTTTTGAACAGGTTTTCCGTCACTGTGTAATAATCAACCGCCGCTGAATAGTAGCAAGTACCTACAACGTTCAATAAAAGATAGTTTAATATTCGAAACAAATATTAATCAATGCATTCAAAAAAAAGAAAATTTTCAAGATATTGAATCTCATTCAGACTCATAGTTTTCCTTTTCCAGTTCTACATAAATTAGTATGAATCCTTTGTTTTTTTTTTCTCAATAGATGCGTGGAACATTAAATAAACTTCTAAACATGTTCATTTTTACAATAGAAGAAAAAATGATCAATCTTCATAAATGAATTCTATTTAAAGGAAAGATTAGTAGAAATAATAAAAAAATAACTGAAAGAAAATAAATTATTTGATTTATTTACCGTGTTTTTCCCATTCTCCTTGAACAAGATCTTCATCAGGCATAATACAGAAATATCTTTTAACAAATGTTGCATTTAATTGAGGTTCATCACGACAATTTCGTGGATGAGCTCGAACATTGGGAGCTTTCAATGCTTGAGGCCATAATCCATGAACAATCAAACCGAATGAATTACTTGGATGACATTGAAATTTGTTCTCACGTGCTGATTGAGAAAGTGATGCACAAAATGTTGGACTCCTTAAAAAATCAATTCATTTATACGTACAGAGTTAAATTATGTGTATTTAAACTCAAAAACAATAACTCACAACAAGTAATTTTATTATGAAATTCCTATCGAAAATCATCAGATCTTCTGAGATCCGATGGTTTTCGAGATTCTAATTCGACAAAAAAAAAAAACAAGACTTTGACAAAGTCGAGCAAGGTTTCCTTGAAAAAAAGTTTCGTTACGAAATGCAACTATGGAATATTCTAGAATCCAACAAGACTAGTTTCATATTGAAATTACAGAGCTCATAATTAACGATGAAAATATTATTCATGTATTTGTCTTAGTCACATTTATTCTGATTCATATCATCCAATAGTAAAGAATCAAATATTCTTCATAACAATTATATCATATGAAATATTCATTCAACTTACCATGATAATGCAAGCATAATATAACTTGTTTCCGCCTGTGTATTCGACCATTCATTTGATTTTGATTTCCAATTGAAATCATAATTTGGCTTGAGACTTGATGGAAGTGGACATACTTCACTAGCAATTCTGTAGCCAACTGTATAGCCAACGATTAAAAAAAGAATAATTAACTTCAGAGTCATTCTTCGTTTTTTTTGAATGTAGAGAAATGATGATGGAAATTTTTGATTGTAATATGATCGAGAAAAACCAGTGACTAACGAGAATCGATACTACAATCAATACTCAAATGTTTCTCTTAAACAATTAACATTATTCCAAGGATATTTATAATACTATCGACAGCTTTAGAAATATCAATAAAATAGATAAAAATATTCTGTCATGACATTTATGCATTTTTCAATGATATATTACGAAAAAACGAAATCTCATGTAAAAACATACATTATCGTAAAAATTTTATTGTTATTGTTCTCTTGTATATTGTATTTACAAACTTTTATCAAAATGCACTCTCGAAATTTATATGTTTTGAGGCCCCACCCCCCCCTGTCAAAAAACATTTTTTCGTCTCAGAACAATCAATCTCGCTAAAAATTTCAAGAAATATGGATGCAGACCTAGGAAGCTTACAGTAAAAATTTTAATCCGAAATATTCAATTGTTCAAGAGTTATCCCTATATCAAGGATCTAAAGGTAGGTACCCCTGCATCCCAGATTTCGAGTTGGTGTCAAGATATAGCCAACATTTGCCGCTATAACCTAGTAGGACCCGATTTTTTAAAATTCTTCATGAAAAGTTCGAAAAGATATAGGAGTATTCCTATGAAAAAGGATACATTTTCTTCAAAAACAAAGTCAAAAATGAGTAACCTGACTCTGTTAAGTTGTTCAGCAGACTTTTTTCTTCAATTAAAAACCTCCTTGAACTTTATACCATGTAAAATGATTGAGAAATCTGGGACATACAAACAATAAAACAAAATCTCGTTTTGAGAAAAATACCAAACAAAGTTGAACTTTATAAATCTAGGTTGTTTCCTTCGTAGACGGATTCACGAGTGACCATATGGAAAGGATGCATGAAGCACATTTGTTAGAGAATGCGTAGTATGTTCTTCAAGTCAGAAGTTTCTAGGCAAAGTTACACAGCTTCAAAAACTAAAGTTTACCAAACATTTTCTGTTGGTAAATTTTCTACAAAACTTCTTGGAAATCGTCAAAACAACTATCGGAGAATCTTTCAAAACCACGGTAAAAACTAAGAATAACAGTGATTTCGAAAGTAATGAGTGGATTAAAAGTTTTCGGACAAAATGTTTGTTCATTTTTGGCGTACTTGAAAGTATTTCGGACGAGTCGAAATGTATGAATTAGGAGCAGAATTTTATGCTTTTTCTGAATATGGCCTTAGAAATTTTGCATCTATTTTTGTTATACCTTTTAGACAAGCGAAGTTATATGTATTTTGTTAGGAGCTCCTTTTTCTGGAAAACGCCTTTTGGTGAAAAAGTCGATTCCTCAGAAATAAGCATGTAGGAAAAACGAAAACTGAAGTGTCTTGCCTAATGACCAAGAAAACTCAGATAGTACATTTTGTAGGGCAGCTTTTGTCCTACCAGATGTTAGAATAATAAAGATTCTAACTTTTAGTTTCTAATCGCAATAGTTAAAATATAAAAAAGTGCGAAAAAATTTTCTATCCAAACTAATTTTTCAGGTCTTTCAAAAATTTCCTCATTACGTTCGAACAAAAACTGACACAAAATTTCTAAGATCGTATTCAGAAAGAGCACAAAATTCTGGTTCTAATCCATAGGTTTTGTCTCGTCTGAAATACTTTCAAGTGGGCCAAAAATGAGAAAACATTTTATCTGAAAACCTTCCATCCGCCCGTTAGAATACGTAGGCTATTCGATCATGTAGAAAGCTCTAAAATCGATATTTTTGACAGAGGGAAGAGTCTTATAAAACGACTCCAACATTGTGGCGACATAAACAAATATCAATATAATAGACAATATTTCGTTCGATTACATAAAATTATTGTAATATGATGTTTCAACTATTTCTTTTTACATTTTAGCTTAATCTCGATAGTAATTCCGCGATAAGAGCAAAAGATTCATCGAATATAAAATCATCAGTCAAAAACACTTGAGTATTTTTTTTTATGGTTATTACTATTGACGTACGACATGAGATATGGCCTCAATAAACGAATTGTATTCATGATGATTGTTCTCAAACAACTCGTAATCTATTCACTAAAAATGACAAAATATATAGAATAAAAATATTTACTTGAAATCGATTCTATTCATAGAAAATACCTGAGAAAAATAATTAGTTCAATGAATTGAACTCTTTTTTATCCGATAGTTCTGACATGCTCTTTAGAACTGCAAGTCTGCATTTGTATCGTGGTCAGCGTTCTTAATGTTTTCAAAGAGTTGCAACAAAATCTAGTTATAAATCCATTGGTATAATCTAAACCGAAAACTGGGCAAAAATTTGATTGTACAAATATGTCACAACACAAAAGGAATCAGTCGATTGCTTGATGATTGTAATGGTGGGAATGATAGACCTGATGAATCTACAATTTAATCATAGTTACACAAATTGGAAGATCATCCTAATGAGAAAAATAATGGTTTAGAAGTATTGACGATAAGCAGGATTTTTCACTCTCGATTATAATCGAATGATCATGCAATCAATCAATGTCCATAATTAAGCTGATCAATAGGGTATCACAACATGATTGATCTGTGAAAAGAAAAACTTTCATTATCCGATGATCAGATCATATGATTGTCGTATGCTTGAAAATGACAGGTGCCTTTTACGAGGCTTGGGATCAATGATCAGTTTTTTCATAGGAACTGATTTACTAAACATCTAATTTTTTTTCTAGCACTAAACTTCTGACAGCTTTAGCTACATAGTTTAGAATAGAACAGTCACAACTGTATTTGGTAGAATAAAATGAGATATTCAGTGACTTCATCTGATATAAATGAAACCGATCGTCAATTCCGATTCTTTTTTAAAAGAAGTGATCAATGCAAATAGTTCAATCGATTGATCATGAACTGTCATAGGTCTAGTTGATACATTGACAAAGTTCTCGCATTTGATATATAAGTCATAAGAAGTTTTCTCGAATACGTTTACGTCAAATTTCCATTTAGTTCTATATTCGAATGCATTTTGTTCGACTAGACGAAGTTTAGATTTATGAAAGACATTACAAATATTTGCCAACAGATGAATATTCAAGTATAATCAAAAGAAATGCTGCATCATTGTCGTGATATTGTTATCTCTTCAATGGACCTCACCTGACTTTTACCCTTTCTCTTCAAGAGAATACAAAAGAACATACTTTGTCATTATTTGTTGTAATAAAAATACTTGAAAATTCTTCAATACTCTATCAAGTTAATTACAGGATGACGAAAACGATCATTTCACGTATTTACGAGTATTTTGCAATATCACTATAGTCAGCAAATTATTTTTCCTAACCATCTAACTCAACAGTTTCATATAACAAACCATTCTCTATTACTTTTGACTGATACGAATTATTGAATTGCAGATAGACTTTTGCCTTCCAATTCATTCTGCTTCAAGACTGTATAAATTTACCATATAGAGACTCTACAATAAGTAGACGCAATCCCCGATGGATAACGACAAACAAACAAGTTAGATCGAGCAAATCTTGCACTTGAAGTAGACAATTACATTGCTCTTGAAATCAAGAACTCACTGAAGCTGATCAAAATACCAATTGTGCAATCATTCGGATAATAGAGGTCGCAGTTGCTACCTTTAAGAAATCTGATATGGCATGTAGGAAGGTTTGAAATCGGTGTGTATGTTTACAGCTCGCCTCGAATTTATTTCATTGGTTATCATTACGACTGCATCACGAGATGCGGAACTTTATCTAAAAATACAGCAATTAGTCTATGAAAAGAATTCAAAATTTAATATTAAAATAACTTTCATAGATATTTGTATCAAATCAATGCTAAAATAAAATGAAAATACAACTCAAGGTATACAGTGTGAGTCAGGTAGTAACGACTAAGCTGTTGTATTTACCCTAATACAGAATTATAAGTTGTTCACTATTTTGCCTAGAAGAAAGATAACTTGAAAGTCAAGTTCTCCATAGTAAGCAGTGAACTAGTTGTTTGATGTGAATCACTTGAACTTTAATAGGTGTAGAAGTTCATAATAAAGACATACAGTGTAGAAAATATTATTTTTCCAAGTAGGTATTGTCATAATTTCAAATAGTATCAGCAACAAATTTTATAGAAAGTGAAACTTCGTTGAAAATGAGATTTGTCAACATTGAACTGCAACAGTTATGAAGACTTTCTCGTGTTGAATCCTCAAAAATTCTAGAATTTTATAGAATACAATCTTTTTGATCTACTACTCAGTAACGAATCATCAAACAGATAAATAAAGGAATCTTTTCAAATAAATTGAAAAATGCATCGTTCCAGTGACTATAAGGTGTCATTCCGATTCAAAAGATATGCGTTTCTTTTTTCATTTTATCGTATTTTCATCTGCCCTTTGTTTTGTGATTTGTGACATGAATGAGGACATATGCCACAAAAAATAATATAATGGATAGAACAACCCTAACTTCGATTTACTTTAGTTCACTTGGTCGTTTTGTGTTGGCTTTTCATTTCTATTCTTGTCACATAGTATTAACAGTACAGGAAAACCTATCTTTCCGCTTTTTATGGAAGGATAATGACTCGTGGTGACCATTTGTGAAAACGATACTGCTTATCGTACCCATGTTAGAAAGTTCGAGAACAGAAAAGCTCAAGCAGTTTGTGAAACAATATAGAAACATATTTACTGATTCATATAGTTCATAAATAAAAAAATTGATCTTTTTAGTTCAACAGATTAGTCTGGATGAGATTAATAGACAAAACGGATTAGATGTGACGGGTACACAAGACGTTTCAAACCAGTCAGATGTTTCAGACAATTCGAATTAGTTCATGTCAGTCGTCTTCACTTATTTTTTGCTCAATGTGGTGGATAAATTCCCAACTACAGTTGTATAATCGAGAAAAGGCCCTTTAATAAAACAATGATTTACGCTAGAATGAACATTGGGTGATATGAAATAAAATGAGTATATGGTTCGATAATCATAGGAAGAGTAATGTTTTCAGATGTGTCAGCATGATTACATGCTCTATAATCTCAGTTGTGTGAAATATATGAATTCTTTTTAGGATGTGGGATGTGGAGCAGAAGAAAATCAACACACCCAGACACATACTTACACTCAGACTGCACATTGACCCTAGAAAGTACCGCTGATACCCAATTTCAACTTTTATTCAATTCGACATTATCGGTATCTACGTCTACTCGCATTGCAACTATTCTGGCTTAGTATTCAATTATTCACATTTGTTTTAGCAGATGTTGTGACTTATGGAATTACCCACCACCATGATTCGAAGACGATAATATAATTCAGATATTTGATAAGTGAGATCACATCTTCATGATGAACAGGAAACAAGCATCTATTGCCGAAATAGTTTCAAATCATAAAACCACTAACTATGAATGGCGTCCCAGCGGTGTGTCACTCACGGCTAGTCGCTCCTATTGCAATTTTACTGTAGATTTGCTCCAGAAAAGATCTATATAAAGGCTAGATTTTTTTAGAATATTGCACTAGGATTCCTTTAATGAGGTCAATGTCAATGAAATTCTGATTGACTGATTAGCTAGGCAATAATGTCAAAGACACAAGGAATAGTTTACAACAGAGTTTCGGTTTGAAATTTTTCATTGAGAATGCTCGTGTTATAAATGTAATGACTTTCGAAGTAAACGAAGTCTGAAAGAGGTATCGGTGTACTTCGAAGAGAATGATCTAATGATCGAATAGAATAAAGAATGGCAATGGCTGACCATGAGTGGTGTTCGAAGGAGAGCCGACGATCGACTAGACACTGCTCTTGAAAATTCATTAGAAGAACGTTTGAGACTGTTGCGATGCATTGGAAAAATGTCTACGGTCTAGATCTTGTCGGTTGCAACGAGTACTAGAATTAGCAAAAAATCTAGAGAAATATTTTCGAATGAAGTGTAAGAATCGTAGCTTCTCAAAAGATTGTTGAATGGAGTGAGTATCAATTAGAAGTGTGAGATGAGTATTGATGGAGGTAATCTTCTCTTCATTCCCATGTACATCCACACTGAGGTCGAAAGAGTTGAGATATAAAAAAGGTAGTGCTATTCACTTATCTTGATGAAGAAATAAGTTATGAATTTATTCACAAAAATATCTGATGTATACACTAAAATTATAAATAGTTTTGTCGAAAAATTCTCCTGAAATGTTTCATGTTTTCTTTCAGAAAAGAGTCAGCGAATCCGTAGAATGAGAGCGACCTTGTACAGTATAAACTAGAAAATAAGTTATAGAGTTTAGTCAAAGATATTCTAGTAATGTCCATATGAATTCACCGATGAGTTTTAAATTCTTTAAAAATAAGATATTTGACATATTACAAATAAGAAATTTTATTTTCTAATTAGAAAATCGTAATTGAATTCATATAGGCATTTCTAGAATTTCGGACTCTATTCAGCAATTCGAGCATTTTTTTTAAAAACTCGAAAATCGAATTTTATTTTCATATATGAACGTAAAATTCATATAATAACAAACAAATAATTTTAATTGAAATTGAAATAATATTATAAACATTTAATTCATAAAAATGCATCAAATAAAATAAATAATCAATTTAAATTGAAACTTATATAATAGTTGAAACATGGAATTCATATGAATGCACCAAATAACATGAATAAATAATTTGAATTTAAATTGAATAATATTCTAAATATTTAATTCATATATATGCATCAAAATAACATAAAAATAAATAATTTAAATTTGAATTTATATAATATTATAGACATATAATTCATAAAAATGCACCAAATAATAAATAAATAATTTTAATTTAAATATCTACACAATATTTTTTCAACTTACGTCAATAGGCTATACTCGAATGACGAACAAGGAAATGATTGAATTCTCTTTTAATATGAAAGTCAGTCATGCTCATGTATATTCATATCTCTCTATTATTTTTTAACCAATGTCCATAACAACCCTTCAATGATATCAACAAAAAAATAATTCTATAATAGATAACAATTAATCAGATGCCTTATAGAAAAAAATTAAAAATTATAATGTTTTCTTTGTTACTGCTTGAATTGTATATTTAGTATCTAAAAAAAGTGATTATCGAAACTAAAATGAAGTGTGTTCCTCAATGGTTTAATCATATTTCAACAGAAATAAACAACTCATAAAGAATTTGCTTGATGAGTGTCAATAGGTCAAAAGAAAATCAAATGAACATCTGAAAATTTCTAGAAAGTATAAAATGAATACAAATCAGTGTTATATAAACAAGAGAGATATCATTTTTTCAAAGAAAATCAATTCTTTTTGTTTTTTTTTTCATTTTAGAATAAAATGAAAAATGAATCGTATTAAGTTGCTGCTACACGTTTTCTTCCTGTCCTTTTTATTGATTCATAATTGGTAATTTTCGACGAAGCAAGTCGAATTTCCTCATCAATTTTAATAACCAATGGATGTTGTGGTAATAGTTTATTACGCAAAATATCATTTGCTTTATGCCAATAGGTTAATGCTTGTTGTGATCGATTCTTAGCAGCATATACTGCAGCCATATTTGCATATGTTAAAGCAATATCAGGATGTTGTAATGGAAATAATTTCGTTTGAATCTGTAATGCTTTTTTGTAGAATTCTAATGCAGTATCATAGGATTCAAGATATCCATTAGCACCAGCAATGTTTTTATATGATATACTAATGTCAATATGATTAGTAGGAAGATGTTTTTTTTTTATATTAAATGATTTTTGATAATATATCAATGCTTGTGAATAATTTCTTTGTTCTTCATGAACACCACCAATACTATCATAAAATCTGGCCATCATTGGATGCATATCAGCATCAAATTGTTTGAAAAGAACAATAGCTTTAGTGAAATAATCTAATGCCTTATCATATTGACATTTATTTGTATGATAAATTATTCCAATAGTATGATATGTATCACCAATAGTGAGATAATCTGATGGACGAGTAACCATATAGTTTTTTAATGCTTTACGATACCAATATAAACATTTATCATAATTATCTTTATCTTTTGCTATTAAACCAAGTGAAGGATACAAAGCATCAAGTAAAGAATCATTGGGAGGAAGATTGTTAAGCATACGAAATAAATATTTTTCAGCTAAATCAATTTTACCCATATCTCTTAATATCATTCCTAATGCAAGAAGATTTGTTTCTCCATATTCATGTTCATTTCTCATATTTTCAAAAAGTTGTTTTAAATCTGGTTCATTATCATTACATAATTTCATTCGAATAATACATCTTTTATTTTTATCATATGAAATACTAACTAGTCGAAATATTGATCCGATCATAAATAATATATCCTTTTCACCATCTCGATTATTATCTGGATTAATATTTGCAAAAGGTATTGGAATATCTTCTCCACCATCAGCATCAATGTCGAATAATACTTTTTGTATATTATTCGATGGAGTTGTTTCTTCTAAATCATTCATAATTGATTCTCGATCAGTAGTTGTTAATAAAAATGAATTGATAGATATTAATTTTCCAGTGAATTTTTTTAGATTATTCAATTGATTTTTCGACATCAATTGACCTTTGTATAATCGAATTGATGATGGATATTGATTATGTCTTAATTGAATACAAATATCTCGAATAACCGGACGAAATAGATAAAGTATATCGATGTTTTCTAATTGAAAAGCTTTATTTAAAATTTTCTGTAAAAAGGGTCTATGAGTATACCATTGTACTGCTGTATTAGCTGAATAGTTATGTTGAAATTCACGAAGAGTAGCTAAATGATTCTTATTACCCCTATATTCTTTCTTACAGAGAGAAAGAAGTTGATTTATATCTTCACTATTGGATCGTATTCGAAGTAAAATATCAATAAGAATTTGAAAATAAATGGAAGATTCATCGAGTTTTGCTGTTGAAAGATTCATTTCATCGTCAACATTCAATGGTTTAATCGTTAATGGTTCTTCTATTTTCATTCGTATCTTTTGATCAACTTCAATTCGAACAAGAATTTCATCAAATTGATTGGTTATGGCTCTTATCTATAATGATTATGTAATTACAACAAAATATATTATTAGAAATATTTAACCTTTGGAAAAGTTTTATTCCATTGTTTGTGTTTATTTTCATTAGAGCAATAAATATAAATCGAAGATATTTGACAAAAATTATGAATTGTTGGTATTAGTTCACGACTAAATTGATCATTGACAATTAAAACAGAACGATCTTCTTTTGACATTGTTTCAATATATTGTTGACATTGATCAATGTGTTCAAATATTTTTACATAATTAATAATTGCACGTAATTTTTGTTCATTATTTGAATTTTTCTCATTCTTATTTACGTCACCTCTGATCCATAGAAGACTAAATGTTTCAAGATGATCATCATGTAACATAGATTTCTCGTGAAGTTGTTCAGTTTTTTCCATTATTGTTATAAATTCAAATTTTTAATTCTTTTCAGTTTCTATTCTGTTGTTTGACACAAAGTATTATGAATGTTTTATCAAACTCATTATGCTTTTAATCTTCAATCACATTTTTGTTAATCTTACTCTTATTGTTTCATTTCATTTGTCGATGATGAAAAGAGTAGTAGAGAGAGAGAGAGTGATCGGGTGTGTGTATGTCTGCGTAACAAGTAAAATCGAGGTTGTTTACAACATAATTTCTTTTTTCTTTCTGTAGCTTCACTTAGTTGTAAGTGATGCTTTTTCATACAACAAGAATTAAATATTTTCCATGCTTTTGAGATGCATTCATCCTACCTACCATGTATTTCGTTTGAGCACATTAGAAATTTTCTTTGTACTCTTTCAACGCCATCAATCGAAAAACAAACTGTGAAGACATTGTTTTCTAGATAGATTACCACGTAGTATGAAGATAATCTCAATAATTTGATAGTTCATTTACATAGTACAGACATGAAACTTTCAGAAATAAAACATCTTGTTTAAATATATATGTGATAAAAATTTCAACTCTCTATGTCAATAGAAAGTATAAAAAATATGATCAACAATTTGTCATCAATTATCATAGGATATCCTTTATATGTGTGGAGTATCCCTAAAAAATGATGTGAGCCTCCACACTTTATATGTCCAAAAAAGGTTTTAAGTATTATCCTGGACCGTTTTCGACAACGTTACATCAAATTAGACTATTAAAATCGAGAAAATAACTTCCTTTCAGAACATTGGCACAGAATACCCTTCTTTCCGAAACTGGTAGAAACCTCACGGATTCACCAATATTCGACATCGGTAGATTCCATCGACTTGGATCACCACTAGGAAATGTGCGGCAAAGCAGACTGAAATTCGGTAAAAATATAAGAAAAAAATAGTTCATATGAATTGCCTGCCAAAGAAAACCACCTGGAAGTTGATTCGCTGCAAGATTTCGGGAGAAAATATATCCTTGATGGCATATAGCTATTTTTCTAGAAACAGAAATAATATGACACAACTATTCGAATTTTCGCATTAATCAATGAGTATGAGCGAATTAGAAGAGAAAGGATGGAGAAATTCATCTACGTGCATTTTAATTATATATGGATTGTGCAAAAGTAAGAAAAGTCTTTTGCATAGAAAAATGCGAAAATATCGCAGAAAAAAATTGTCAGAAAGGATTCGAATTTAGGAAGGGAAAGTTCTCCAATCCCTCCCCTCCCCGCTCCCCCCAATTGACAAGCCTGGTCTATAGTTCAATATTATTGAATCAAAATTTGCTAAATATTTAAGTCTAATGTCTTTGAAGTAGTCATGATTATAAGAATGTATGAAATTTACTTAGTCAAGCTCAAATAAGATCAGGATCATTATGAAAATTATATAATTGATTTGTGTTGAGCAGTGTAAAGTTCTTTGGTCGACCTTGTGGATAAAGCCATTTTTCTAAATCATTCAATCTTCCAAGATATTCAATAGCATGAGCAGCTGATTTAACAACTTTCTCGTATGCAAACGGATTAATATTTCTAATTCTATCACATTGTTGATGGTAACATGTATCATGGGCAGCATTAGCTATTCCACCGTTTCCTATTCCTAATATTGCTGCATATTGATCTCGTTCACTAACTGGTTTAATCCCTCCAGCTCCAGTGTTGACTCCACCGACTGCTAAGCCTGCAGCCAAAAATGGAACATAATCACTACCACCTCCGAGTGAAGAATTACTCCAAGGAAGTTTTTGTTGATTAAACCATTGACGAAAGAGATCCGTAATTTGACGAGTACCATGTAGAGCTGTTTCGGGTGTTGTTGATGGAGCTGTTGAACTATCATGAATACCAAAACGATAGTTAGGACCGGCTAACATATCATAATTTAAATTAACAAGATAATCTTGTAAACGTTCACCTACAATAGTAGTGCTTGGTAAAGAAGCCTGTTCAACATGATATCTAGAACCAATAAGACCAATTTCTTCAGCACCCCACCAACAAAATCGAATACGATATTGATACGGCGAATAATTCGATGAAGATGTTTGAAATAAACGAGCTAAATTAAGAGCTAAAATTAAAATACCAATTGTACCACTACCTAAATAAGACTTAGAAAGAATGATTATTCTATAGATAGATGATTACTTTCTTACCATTATCATTGATTCCACTTCCTGCTGGTACTCCATCACTATGAGCACCAACAACAATTGTTTTAGTTTTATCTCCTGTTTGTGTATCAGCACAAATATTTCCAATGCCATTTGCATCACTGATATTGATATTCATAATCACATCAGCATTGCCTGCTGCATTGAACAACTGCATTCCAACATAATACGATAGAAAGTAGGCCGGAATAGTGGTATTCAAATTATTTCTCACTCCTTGTATTGTTTGAAAACGATCTGGTGCTGTTCCATCATTGTAAATAAGTAATCCTCTTACACGATACTTTTCAGCTAATATAGACTTCTCTAAATATGAACAATCACCTCGTTTGACTAAAGCAACTGAATCGACTGTTGAAACACTGGTCCAATCAGCATCTCGACAACCTAAATTTGGAATAGGAACTACTTGAACGAACGTATTAAAATTAGCACCAGCTGAAAACAAAATCTGAGCAAAATCTGTCAAATAAACATGGTCTGTCATAACTCCATTAATTCGTGATTGTAATTGTGGTGTTCCTCGAATGATATAATTTCGAACTGTGAAATACCAATGTTGAATACTGAAGTTTGTATTTTGTTCGAGTTGACTTGTAATATAGTCTAGCGTATCATTGAATCCTCCTGTTGCTATTGCACGTGTTCCACTATATCGATCAGCAATAACTTGAAGTTGTTCTAAATGTTTCATTAGATCCTCAATTTTTATTTGGTCAACAAATGAAAGTGATTCACTAGTAGGAGGAGAACTTGTATTCTTCGAATCTAAACGATTAATAACTACACCTAAGATGGCCCCCGTAAGGGCAATAGTTGTTATTGTAAACAAGATAAGTAGTCCGAATAAAATATATATCCATTTAGTTACCACAACAGGTTTCGACAAATTACTAGCTGATGCTACTCTATTCATCTCTAAATGGGAATTTCTAAAAGTAGACTTGTACTGGAATGTAACAAATCAATAAATGAATAGATATGAAATATAAAAAAAAAGAATCTTTCATTTTGAAAATGATAAGAAAAATATTTTATTATTCTGCTGCTGATATTCAAGTATATAAGTATTGTTGAAGAAAGGTAATAAATGATGTTAATGTAATAAACAGTTGTTTTTATTCAACATCTAAATATGTGTTCGATTCATTGTTAACAAAAAAAATCTATTATATATTAATTTTCTAATAAGAGTGACTATGATTTGTGTTACTCGAACATAATTAAAATTCTAAGTTTAACATTAAAATTACTATTATTTAATCATATACATTTAAAGATATCATTAAAGTCGTTTCTTCATAGAATGAAACTATTTGAGAATTCATTTTATAATTCTTTTTTGATAATAGCTGTTTTCTATCATAAATCAATTGAGTATTTACTATCCTTCTTCAACAATAATAGTATATTATTGATAAGAGTAGTCAAGTTGAGATTGAAGAACGAATCAATAACTCTTAAAAGCTTTTTTATGTTTTTCAAAATGCAAGCTTTTTTTTGCTTGCTATCAGGAGGAATGTTTATGAGTGCTCGATAACAAGAAAACTTTTCTTTTAGTACACAATGGCTATTGTCTCTGCAGAAGAAATATGCATACTTCTTAGGATTTTTGTTTACAAAATAGAAATGCGATCAAATATGAATGAACATTTATACTTCTTCAGAATTATAAGAATTTTCCAAAGAATTCAATATTTCACATAAAAATAATATTCTAATCAATATCAATTAATATTTATCATCCAAATTGCGCTACCTCTTTACACAGTACAATTTATAACTCTTTATATACCTATAGAAAAGAATTTAAGCATTATATTTATGTAATGATTCAAGTGTTGAACTGCGATTTTTACTGAACCGTTCACCAGATTTAAAAACTTTCTTGTAAAAGTTTTCATTTTGAAATCCATCAAATTACTTGAATTCAGAATCATGATCATCGAAGCTATATGATACTAGAAAATAATGTATGACAAATGTCTTAATATAATAGACTAACGAGGAAATTTTTCGAGGTTCTAAAAAGCTTTTAAGCTCAAATTTCGTCCACAAGTAGGAGATGTATAAACTAGAAAAGTCCTAAGATGGTATGGGGGGCAAATTGCAATTTGGCTAAGATATTGACTTTTTACTATAATTTTTCTGTAGGACCCTATTTTTCTGCTTAAATCAAAGTTTCAAATTTTGATCGGAAACTTTGCCCACATCAAGATCTCAATCAGACTAGCTTGCCTACAAAGTGTCAGAATCTTTAGACAAATCATCTCCGAAATATGACTATATTAACATAAAGACCTATTTTTTAGACATTTTGTATTATGCATGGATATCTGGAAAAACTCATATTTCGAAGATGATATGTCTAAATATTCTGAAACTTTGTAGGCAAGCTAGTCTTGATGTGGGCAAAGTTTCAGATCAAAATCTGAAACTTTGATTTAAGCAGAAAAATGTGGCCCTACAGAAAAACTATAGTAAAAAGTCAATATCTCAGCCAAATTGCAACTTGAGATCATATCATCTTCGGACTTTTCTAGTTTATACATCTCCTTCTTGTGGATGAAATTTGAGCTCAAAAATTTTTTGCACCTTGAAAGATTTCCTCGTAAGAATCATCATTCATTTTCATCACTGGTTCTCGACACTTTGAACAAGTATTTTTAGCAGATTGCTTACGTGCGAAAACTAGCCTTTCTTTGACGAAAAAAATCAAACTTAAAATTTCGAAAAACTGATTACAGATTCCTCGATCCCGGGGTTACCGTTGGTCAAACTTTATAAGAAAATTGTCTTTTTTTTGATAAATTTGCAAAGTTTCCATTACTAGTTAATTCGTGATATAACTGACGAATAGTTTCCCTCCACTTATTCGAGACAGAGGAAGAACGCTCACGCTCATGAGCATAAGCTGTACACACTTCACAATGGAGTAGAGGATTAAGCAATGGAAAGGTAGAATTTTCATTAGAATAGAGACCACGAAGAATTATTTTCGATATTTTACAAATGATTTGTTTTTTTTTCTGAACATCGTTCTACTCTAAATGAAACAATATCCTACATTGATAGAATATTTTGAATATTGTCCAATTTTCACAAAGACAAGAATAATTATTCTTTTTTTTCTGCAAAAAATTTGTAATAACTATCAAGAGATAGATTTCTCGAAGTTAATCGAAATATTCTTTTTTTTTTATTGACAAAATTAACATACAATTATTATAAAAATAAATATCTTTACGTTTCGTTTAATTTCCTATTATTTTTTAAGTCCTTTGTTGTACATATCTAAATCAAAAAATAACGTTTTTCTTATCCATTTAGGTAAACGAAGATAAATGTCAGATGTGATTGGCCAAAGAACGGATGTTCGTTTACGATACTGATGATATTCTAATTGATTTCCAAAACGTTTGTTATTATTAATTTCTGATGCTAATGTAGCTTCAAATAACATTATCGACAGAGTGAATAAGGGACTAATTTGTGGCAAAATAAGCATAAAAAGATTATATCGATGTAAAGAATGATGAAAAAAGAGATTGAGAGCTATAATCGATAATCCTAACCAACACAAAACTTCACCACAATGATTCGGATTTCGACAATAGTTCCACATTGTACCAAGATGATAATATTTCTTTTTTCTTGCAAGTTTTGCTTTCAATTTGTTTTGATCAGCAAATGATTCCATAAGAAATCCACAAATCCAAAAAGAAAATCCAAAAAAATCTAAAATGCTAAATTCGACATCTGTGATTGGAAAAGCATGAAGTAAGGCGACGGGTAAACAACAAATAACCGACCAGAATGCATGTGGACACAACCAAAAACCAATTATAGCCAGTTGTCCATATTTCTTCGCCAAATCATCAATACGAGTGTCCAATGGACCAAGAACAAACATTCGATAGATCAAAAATCCGCCCAATCGTAATGACCACAGAATGACACATAAAGTTACTAAGATTTGACGAAACTGTAATGTTTCAACTTGTGTTTGCAATGTATAAAATAATGACCAAATTATACCGGATATGAATTCAATCAAACCAGTAAAATTATCCATTACACGAAAATAAGAATTCGGTGTATTGATAAACAATTGAATGAAAAATGAAGGAATAAATATACATAATAAATGAGGATATAAATCATAGAAGAATTCAAGCGAAATATATGAATACATTTTGATGTTGCTTAGATAAATTAAAGATATAGATCGACTAGGACAACTCTATTGGACAAATACACAACCATTACAATATAAGAACAATATGCCAAGAATAGATGTCCCATGAGAAGAATCAAAATTTATTAGACCTATACAATTGATGTATTTTAAAGATTATCGAGTAGATGAAATGATGGTCTATCTCTCGAAAGGTAACAAGCCATGAAAGATACATTTTTCCTTATTTGTATATATATATATATATATTAATTTGACTGAAAATAAACAAGTACTTGATGAATTTGTTAAGTCACTCAGGCTATGCAAATAAATTCATTGATTGGACAGATATTAAAGATATTGACTGAAATTTTCGATTAAGTTGATTTACAAGATTAATTTTTAAGTAAGAATTCATCAAGTTAACACTGATGCTAATCTTGTGAAGATGAATTAATCGAAAACATTGATCTATTCTTTGGAAAAATTGTTATATTTGTTGATCTTTATTTCTATTTTACAATGATTCATTTTTTTTTCGAAATTGAAAACAAAAATTAATTCATTGTAATAATGAAATAAAAAAAATAATTTACCAAATCTGTTCGCATTTTTTATTAAAACAATTTTCCATGTTTTTATTCTCGAGCATATAATAATTCGAAACTTTTAGTAAAATTATAAAGATTTTAATATTATGATGAAGTTTATATTAATTTAAATTGATTTTCTTTCAAATAAAATTCATTATGATGAGTATTTTAAATTTTGTTTTAGCTTCAATTTATTCAAACAATTCAATACTTTTTCAAGAATGTTGACTCTTAATTATGTTGCCCAATTCTATTCTATTATTGAAGAGACCTTCAATTGATGATTTCATTATATTGTGAAAGTTAAATAAAAGTATTCGGTTGGCAAATAGTAACTGTTAGTTTTCTGTTGAAACTAATTGACTGATCATCATTCCAATATAGTTTTGTCTATAATCGGTCATTATCGAAAAAGTATTGATAACTGAAATAAAATTATTCGGTTTATTATGCACAATCCAACATTATCAAAAGAAATAAATAAAATGAAAATTATTCGAGTTCTTCATTTTGTTGGTTGTTTCTTGTTCTTCAACTTTTTTCCATCGGATTCTTTTACTAAATTCTTTTGTTGATCAAAAATTTGAAATATGATTGGATAGACAAGCCAGGCAAAGCTGAATAATCCTCGAAAGTGTTGTTGATTGTTGTCAGTATTCTTTATTTTTTTATCTTTTTGTCTATTATATTTGATTAATTGAATCCATGATTTATAGGTGACAAGAAACCAGGCTGACGCTTTTTTGTATATTTCATTTCGATTGAGGTCGGATCTGTAATATTCGAGTGAAGTAAGTTGATTTTTCCATGTTAAATATTTTGCTATTTCTTTCCAGATAACGATTTTATTTTCTTGATCTGTATTTTCTTCTTTCTTTGTAATTTGATAGAATTGTTCCCAGAATAAACGTAAATATCTAATTAAATAAAATAATTCTAATATTATTTATATGATTAAATTAAAATATATTTACTTTTCTCGAATTGCTTTGACTGCATGATTTATTTCATTTCTTAATTCAAATAATTTTGCTTGTTTAGCATATTGTTTTGTAGTAAATTTCAGAATATAACCAGACAAAACTTCAGCTTCACTTTTTATTCCATATTGTCTCATAATACGTTTTAATTCTCGATCATAAGCATTTTTTGTTATACTAGCTTCTTTCATATAATGATTATTTCCATCAATAATTAGTTTTACATAGGGAAATGATGATGTTTCATTAATCTGTTTTTCTAGATCATTATTCAAATCAATTTTATATGATTCAACTTGATCATATAATTGTCCAAGAACAGTTTTAGAATGATATTGAAGTTTATCAATCTTTTCCATATAATGTGGATAACATTTTGGACGAAGATCAGGTGTAAGACGAGGTGCACTTACACCATTTTTTGCAAAATCGACTGCCACACTGGAAAATTTTAATTGAGAAGTAAATCAAATGTGCTTATTTATATTGAAAGAATTCTTTAACAATTAAACTCTAGCGATTTTTTATTGACAATATATGTATACACTCTCTTTATTATCAAAATAAATTTGAAGACATACGAAGAAAACTTTTTCATATAGAATATTCCAAGTTTGTTCTTATGAAAAATGATTGTAACTCTTCGTGAGTTCTATATTCATATTCATCTATGCCTCCACTTCCAGACTTCTTGTAACCATAGCCTATTGTCTCAGCAATATTTATTTGATCGAAACTTATAATGATCGTGGCAAATGTATAAGTCACAAATAACAAACTCATAATTAGAAGTAATAGAATCAATTCGAATTATTAAGGCTTGCTTGTTGATCTTTTTTTCTGTCATTTGAAAATGAGATTTTATAAAATTTTGTCAATAAAGAAAACTGAGGTGTTAGACTCAGGACATTAATATTGAGTAATAGAAAATTGAAATAAATGAGATGCTTTAAATCTATCTTTTACAAGAAACATAAATAAAGAGTGTTCCAAAAATATTGAAAAGATTTTAAAATTGATCGTTCACACATTCAACAAAAGCAAAATCTTTAAAACTTTGGCAGATTATTGAACATGCTTAGTGTTACATAACTACAAAGTTTCAGATCTATAGCTTGTACTACATATGAGAACCTGTAAGGACATTATGGTGTACTATTGTTGTCAATTTTTCTGATCATTTTGATTATTATTTTTAAAAAATCCTACTATTTGAAGTAAAAAGAAACACATAATAATAGTTATCAATGTTCCCGTATTTGGTAACCACCTTGATCGATTACTAATTTTAATCATGCTGATATGTTATCTATCATTTATTGACATAAAGAAACACTAAATTTGTTCCATTCCTTTTTAATGTCGTTTTTCAATTGTTGAATATTGCTTGTCTTTTCGTCCTCGTAATTTCTTCTCTAATGTACTCCAAACGTTTTCTAAGGTCAAACATCGGCTAATTTTGTAGCGCAAATTTTTAGTTTAATTCGATTTATCAAAAAAACATGTTTAAGAGCATCCAAAGCCATCATAGATTTAATAAATTACTAGTTCTTTAGCTGTTTTTCATACTACAATAGTTTGAATGAATTTTGCATATTGGTCATCACTAAAATACATTTTCTTACGACTATCACTACCTTGTAGTCTAATGAGCTCTAACTATTCATTGATAAAAGCTGGAGAAGAGTGTTGAGCGATTTTTATACTGAATTTTGTCAATATAATTCATAGAAATATTGAAAAAATAGTACATCATAGTGTTGTTACAGGTTCTCCTGCATAGTGTAAGCTATAGATCTGAAACTTTGTAGTTATATAGTACTAAGCATGTCCAATAATCTGCCAAAGTTTCAAAGACTGTTTTTCTTAAATGCGAGAATAATGAATTTTAAAATTGTTTCAATATTTCTGGGACATCCTTTATATATTCTAGACTGAACATCTATGATCTAAAACGTATTTTATTCATTGCTCATAGATTAAGATTTAAATAAAGTTTGTTGCAATCATTTCTGACAGAGAAATATAAATGAGTTCTTAATAGTCAAGATTTGAATAATAATCTGTATGTATAAGAATGTCTACATATTGTGATAAGAGTATTCTTGCTAACTGCATATTCTTCTGTATAATTCATTTGTAAAATCAATCAACTTAGTTGAAGATGTTGAATACGAAGTCATGGAAGTTATTTATTCTTTAATAAATATAATTTATATTCAATTATTTACCTGTGCATGCGGGCGAGTTTCAGACATGGTTCAGCTTTGCATCCATCTATTAATTGATCTGCAAAAGCCATATGCGTATTGGCAATGATACCAAGACTATCAATAAAACAGCAATAATGAAATCTTTACGACAACTTAAAAAAAGACTTACTTATCGGCTTCGATATATTCAACAAAAAAATTACAAATATCATTAATAGTTAATTGCTTATCCATATTCATTTGAGCTTCTTTTTCTGCTTCAACTGCTTGATCATGATAGTCAAATGGCTCTTCATTTGTGTGAAATATCAATTGAGGATCATTACATATCCAGAATGTATCTCCATCAAGATCTCCCCCGGACATTTCTTCAGGATGAGGACGAGGTCCATCAATAGGAAAGACTATTACATTCATTAATCCATGTAAAGCAGGTATATCAACAGCTTCTAAACGACGAATATCACCTAGAGGAAAACAAGTAGAAAAAGAAAAGCTTCAATAAAAATGTGTCTAATAGCATAAACATATACCCGGATGAAAACAAGGATTCCGTGTTACAATTACAGGTCCTTGTAATATTTCAGTTGATTCAATTTGTTGATCATTCTTATTAATTTGAATGAAAACTTGACCGTATCGAAGTATTCTCGTTTCATCAATGACACCAAGAAGATTCCAAGACTGTTTGATAGAAATTCTTGATTTAGTTCTTAATTCTTTGACAAGAAATGCTTGATAATTGAGAAGCATCTGCCGAACAAATGGTTCTTTATAAATGTCAAAATTGTTAAGATATTCTATTAGAAATCTATTCCATCCATTACCACCGAATTCATTTAATTCTCTTAAGGCATTAGAAGCTTTCTCTGGTGATCCAGTAAGACTTTCAATTTGATTGAGCATCTTTTTTTGCATCAAAAGAAATATCTTATCTTCAATACCGAGCGATGATAATAGAAGAATGATTTGTCGATTGAGTGAAGTACTTATCGGCATCGATGACATACGAACGACATCGATAGAAAGATTTTTCGATAGAAATTTATTCATTGATTTTCGAAAATAAATTCCAATGGTAGGATTGATAATTTTATTAGCAACGTCCAAACAAACCATTCCTGTAGAGAGAAAAAGAAATTTATCATAAAATATACTAGATTCAAAACAATCAGTTAACCTTTGTAACCACTAAAACGTATTTGAAATGCACTTGGAAGCAAAGCTTTCTCATTATGTTTTGCCTGTTTTGCTAACTTATGAGCAAGCTCTGGTGCAATAATACCAATACCGTCTGTAAAATTATGATTTCCTCGAATCACATCAGATACTTCTATGTATTCTCGACTTTTCAGTTCGATGCCTTTAATAGTTGTCGAAAATGATTGACCTAACTATTGAACAGATGCAATAATATTAGTCTTAAATCAATGAAAAGATCTTACACGAGCTGCCATCTTAGATACCGGTCGAATATTGCTAAAGTCACCCATCCATTCACGAATTTGATTTGCAGATAGATCAGTATTCAACGATGCGAACATCCAACATGAATGTTCACGTAATTGAGAACTGGAAAATGCCAAAAACTCGTAATGACGATCACATATATTGATACCATTGATCATTATTTTCTTGATACGTTCGTAAAGTTTAGTCATACTAACATTACTAAATTGTAATTTTCTGTAGTCTAAAAAGAAAAAAACAATACAAAAAAAAATATTTGTTTAAGAATATAAAATCAATAATTTGCCTTCATCACGAAATGTTACACGAAGAAATTGATCTTGATATTTTTCGAAATGTCGTGTTACAAGACATTTTTCTTCTCTGTACGGTCCTTCATGAAGAATGGTAGATGGTGTTACATATATTTTTCGCATTAGAAATGGACTAACATTAGTTGTTCGTAACTCATGTTTAGTAACAAACACATTTGTAATTGGTGTACAAGAAAGTTCATCTTTACGATGCATTTCATCAAGAGCTAACAGTAAAAGACGCCTAAGAGAACCAAGATGATGTCCTGTTCTTTTTAGAGTTAATCGTGCGACACTTGAAGCCAGTGGTATGTTTGTTGCATCAACTAGTTCATCAGTACTAGAGCGAATCGTATGAGAGAGAAGATCTTCAGGAGAATTCTTTTTTATTTCTTGATTACAAACATCATCATTAGTCCAATCATCGTCTTCATTATCGCATGTTGTTTGAAGCCAACGTGGAGCTAACTCAATAATTTTATCTAAGTAGAAAGTAAAATATTATTGTTTAACTTTGAAATTAAAAGTTCATTCACACACACACACCTGTACAAACAATCAATGTATTGATTGAACATTTTGATAAAATAGTATCAAAATGTTCGTCAACAATCAAATCATTGACTGTAACAATATGTTTTGAAATAAGTTTCATTATTTCGAATTTCGTTTCAAATGAATACCTTGGCCATCGATATTTAAGGAAATTTGTAACAAAATCCTGATTCTGATTAATCCATGTTGTATTCGATAACAAATAAACATGTTCAAGATATTTTCGTGCACTATCCAATGAATTGATCAAATAAGATATATTATGTTCCGAAAATTCCCATGATGATAGATTGTAACGACGAAGACATTTAAATAATTCTATAGAATTATTGATATTATCGGTAGATAAAGGTAACAGCCAGGTATTAGCATGACCCAGAAGTGTAGTACCAGGTTGACGTGTCTCAACTTTTTGATCAAAATTAGTGTATTCCGAAAGTGAATAACAACTATTTGTAATGATCGGAGGTCGTTTCAATTCAATCAGTAAATAAACTGATGAATTGTTTACCAAAACTGGTCTAATCCTTTTACCTTTTAAACTAAAATAAAATATGTATTCATATTAAAACGAACTCTAGAAGTAGAACTTACTCTCGAAAATTCCATTCGAATTTTAATTGTGACCATACGTCGAAATCATTTGAATAATCAGTTAAGATAAATGCGAATTTTCTATTTTCTTGATCGATTTCAAATCGAGTAGGAATGCTCATATTTGTCGGTATTAGAGGATGAGCAATAAGACCAAAATTAAATTCATAATTTAGATTTGTTTGAATATTTTTCATAGCTGCACGTGTCAAAAGTGTTCCATAGTGAACTTCTGAAATATTCAATTTAATTTTAGACACATTGGTAGCATTATTCAAATTTGTGATGTTGCTACTAGTAATTGAATTTTGAGCTGTACGTTTTTCTTTGGGGCGATCGATTCGTAGTTGACTATTATTGAATAAAAATTTTGATGGATTTACTTTGTATGAATATAACACTTGTTCGGTTATTTCTGCTGAACAAAAACGAACAAAAGCAAATCCAGGACGTCTTATCTAAATAGACAAGAAAAATTCGAAAGTAATTAGATTTAGAATTTAACTAAAGATATTCAAATTTCAATGCTTACATTGTTATTCTTTAACTCGACACGTACAACGTCATAGTTGAGTGAAACGAAAAATTTTTTCAAATCTTCCCAAATGCATGAAGTAGGTACGTTACCGACAAAAACCTTGTCTGGAACTAAAGAACTTGTATTTGGTCGATTCACTGACAGAAAATAAGGTGATGAGGGGGTAGTACTTGAGAATAACGATGTTGTTGTTAAATACCAACGAATGCAATCACCAAAATCTGTAGAAAAATTAGCAGTATGGTTGGGAGTAATCAATGAAGCATCTAGTGCAGATCGTAATCTCTCGTCAGATGATTCATCAACAGTATCAATCGATCCATTTGCATTTATAACAAAGTCTAATATTGATTCAAACAGATCATTATCGTCGAGATCTTTATCGTCAATAAACCATTCATTGATCTGATTGCCAGTATCAGCATCGAATTCATCATATTCGTCATCGATCTCCGATAGAGACATTATATAAAGAATACAAAAACTATATATCAATCAGATCTCCTAAACGTTACTTATAGTAATATTAGCGGTAATTTGTAATTTCAAGTCGAAATCTATAATGAACATGAAGAAAACGAAAAAGTAGACATGTTATTGATAGAATTTTCCCCTCAATTCGCAGTGTATTTTGCAGACAATTATGGATATAAAATAAACGAACTACTTGTTTTTAAATTTTAACACACGAAAATATACATCTCAAGATACAGATTATGAGAGAAGAGTTGTTGATCAAATCCAAATATTTCATCAAAGAAGAGTGCATAAAATATTTTTGAAATCTTGCTTTGAACGAATGTCAAATTCACATGAGAAAACTCGTTAGCAAAATTGTTCTCATTTGATCTAAGCAAAATCAAACAGTTGTCTTGTGACCGGTATATTACATAGATAAAACTAACCTTCATCTTTTTACTAACAACCATTGTAAAAGGGTGTGGGTGTGAATGTAGTATGGGTAGTTGATGGTGTAGATGTGAGTGTAAAGTATGGGTGTCGTTGTGAATCTCGTATTCTCTCACACTCACCCACACTCTTCGATCTCTACGGAAAATGGTCATATCTCTCAATAATAGATGCAATCTAGCAGCATCAGCTTTGCGTCAGTCAAAAATTCACCATGGTTTTCTATTAAATAATTTCCTTTTAGACTGATATTGTTTGTAATAATACTTTTAGAAGCTACTACAAAATGTTGCTTGAAAACATTACTGCTAGCTCAATAGATGACCAATAGTATGCACCACTCAAGAGTTTTGTCCCTCTTCGAAATTCAACAAATAAATTGCACTTTACTAGTATGTCATAACTTCGATTTTTTTCAAAAGTACAGCGCCGGTGCTAATAATAAAAAAAAATACAATAAATACTGCATTGCACTGATGTAATTTAACAAACGAACAACAAGAGAGATGCGAATTCTTATAAACTTATAAGAACAAAGGAAAACAATTATTTTTAATTTTGAAAATGTTTGATAAAACCTTCTTTTAATAAAAAACAACTCACGATGGTGTGACGACTACTAATCAAATCGAAATACTTCGCTTCGTTTACAAATGATACGAACGAATGGTCAATTCCAGCTAAATAATTTTTTTAAATGAATTTTTAAAAGAACTTTTTTTACAACTCGAGCATACGACGGAAGTCAAGAGGAGTGGATTTTTTCCCAGTGAATCACTTTTTTTTTCTTAGTAGATTGCGACTGGTGTAATGCATTAGTCATACCCGCATGCAGTTTATTTGAATAAAAGATAGAAAAAAATTTTTTCTTTCTTGATGAAAGTCGATCAACAATAGTGTGACACTATAAACACATTTTTTAAGGAGATGCTACTCTCAGAAAAGTTGATTTTTCGAGACTTATACATATTATGATAATCCTGGCAATGGACTTTAAGCTGACTGGGTGTGGGTGTAGACTGCGAATAGAATAGAGACCTCACCATCACTCACACGTACCCCAACCTGCTTTGATGAACAAGAAGACAAGCAATGGTTACCAGAATATCGAATACGTATGATAAATTGATTCTGGACCGAAAAATATACAATCAAAGTCTTCATTAATGAATGATACAATGCAATCTATTTGTTTCAATATTTAATAGCTGAGATTATATTCTTTCGAACTAGAAAATGAATCAATCGAGTTGAACGTCTATAATTAATAGAGATCGATAGTAATTATCATTTTAATGAGTATACTAATAGATTAACATTGTATTAATAAACAGTCAGGATATAAAAAGGAATAGAAATGCTAGACAAATAGCATATAGTTCTATCGACGTCTTTCATACGATTACGTGGAAAATGTCTACTCGGACTTTTCTCTTTAAACTAGAAAGTTTCTTTTTTACATTCTAAGCTGATCCAGTTATTTACTGTATTATAAAAGAATAATTGTATATTTTCTTCTCTAGATAAAGACCACTTATTGAACATTGGCACAGAACAGTATACTGGCTGTAGACTAGGATTCATAGGAAATAAATTCTACAATAATCGCTATACTTGTTTATCATTTTAGCAAATGGAAAAATGAAAAAATTTGCGTGCTACTTTTTGTTTCTTTACAAAGCTGCTAGATCGATCAGGATTGGTTTGTTCTTATCAAAAAGTAGAAGAAAAAACGAACAAAGGATTTGGCATATTTTTTTTTATTTTAGCAAAACAGACAAAAAACTGTCTCGGATCGGTCTGTTGATAAACGATCCATGATGATAAATTTTATGTTTTTGCAACAAATAGATTGATCAAGGATCCAATGCCTTCTTTCAATGGATCATTTAATTCATGATTTGACTTTTGAATCATTTTCTGTTTGTTTCTGTGTTTCTGTGACATGTCGAATATTATTCTCCAATTTAACTAGGTATGGATGTCCCCATGGAAGACTTTGTCGATAAATCTCTAATGATTTTTCGAAGTATTGCCGAGCTTCAGATATTGCACCCAAACTCATCTGTATCGCACCCAAATTGTTGAGTACAGCGGCTAATTCAGGTGAATCAGACGGAAGAGTACGGTCAAAGATAGTAAATGCATTCATACCAAATTTGAGTGCTTGAGAAGCATCGCCAAGATCGTAATGAATATTGGCAAGTGTCGCCAAACTTGCGGCTACACTTACTTCGTTGACGGGCACTATAGCTTCACGTATGGCCAAGGCTCGCCGGGCATAATCAAGTGCTTCTGATAGTTCGTGCCGAGCTCGATGAGCATTTGACATACCAACTAGATTCGTAGCAATAGAGGCTTGATCCAATGGCACACGAGATTCACGTAACTTGAGTGCGCGAGTATGATATTGCAAACTTAAGTCGAATTTACGACTTTCATGATGCACCATACCAATTAGAGTGATAGTCTCAGTAGTATCTTCGTCTGTCTAAAGGATAAGAGAAAACAAAAATATGTAGAGACAACCGATCTCAATGTACCGTGTTCTCAAACAATCTATCTCAACTAAATTAGTGTTTCAAGTAGATTTTTTAAATCTTAACTTAAATCGAAGTTATTCTCATAGATTAGATCTCAGTTATTTATTAAAACTTCTTGCTTTTGCCGGAGAACGAGATCGTACATGCTGAATAAATAGTTATCGACTAATTAATTTCTCAAGAAAGCAATCACTTTCCATATTGAAATATTTCATGATAAAAAAGAGAGACAGTTGAGTCTAATGAAAATGCCACACCTAACTCCATGAAAAGTCAGATTACAAAATTTCAGAATCTTAACTTAAGTAGGAGCAGCACTCATCGTTTCTTGGTTTCTACTCTTAAATGCCGTAGAGAAGTGTTGTTTAAAAAAAAACTGTCGACTTGTACATGCTTCTCTCCGGTAATTCTACTCGAAATATAATGTCTGCAGGTTTTTCTTGTCTATCGCAACACCAACTACACATGTTCATTGTGACTGAAAATAAGTACCTATTCATTATAAAAATATAAAAACAAGCTGGTATTTTAGGCATACTCATCAGAACGGCATCATTAATCCTTGCATCAGTAGAAATAAGACGAAACTACACTACCTTCGTTTGTAACATTTCTAGCTTTTGATTTCGTTTTGACTTACTTCTTCTTGCATTTTGAGTGCCTGTGTATAGCAGTGAAGTGCATTATCGTAGTCTCCTTTCTTATCAGCATAAAGATCGCCAATGTGAATCAGTATAGAAGCCGACGTAGGACAAATACGTCGATATGCAGCAATTGCTAAATCGATTTCACCGTTCTTAACATAATTCTCTGCTTGTAATTCATCATCAGATATTTTCGGTTTACTGAAATAAGGGAATTGCAAATAAAATAGTTCGAAGTGTTCTTTTTTTTTTGGGATAAACTTCCCGATTATTTTCTATCATGCAATTTATATATTTACCTATCTATGGCTTGGGTTGATGAAGATAACGGATGTATAGGTTCTGAAGGAGAAGATAATGGATGCATAGGTTCTGAAGGAGAAGATAATGGTGATTTTGGAAGAGTAGACGATGGCTGTTGTGGAGGAGCTAATAATTGATCAAGTAGCGTTTGAATAGTCTCTCCCTTATGATTATCTTTATATTCTCGTGCCATTTTCTTTCCTTCATCGGGTACTGCTGTCATTTTGATGATTGAGATTGTACCCCGATTGATACATACTATACGAAAAGTTGTACCAACATCGAAGATAACAATTGATGAACGATTCTCTATAGACACCTCAGCCAATTTTACCGATGCATCACAATCAATTTTAAACAAAACTGATGAAAGATCAGATCGATAGCCAGGTGACGAAGCCAAATCCATGGCAGTTGTTCTTGATTTTGTACAAGTAAAAAATCCACATACGCACATGATTTTACCTGTATGTATTTCGAAACTATCGACCAGTTTACTTGGTAACTTCATGCCACGATAGAATTGAAGATTTCCAGTACGTTTTGATTGTTGCTGTATCAATCGGGATGCATCAGCGATTAGAAAGCGACAAAAATTGAGCTGTTCCGGCTGAGAAGATATCAATGCATGTCGAAGAAGATATGAGGGAAACGGATCACGGACACACCAAAGCAGAGCATGTTTTGGACGATATATTCGATCGAACTCATCGACAAGTCTGAGTCTTCTTGGATTACCTCGATAATAGTGTCGAGCCATCTCGACAAAGTCACTTTTGTTGTTTGTTGGAACTTTTCGGCTTGTCAACTACAAAAATAATCAGATCTGAAAGATAATTGATACAAGTTATAATGATAATAGTCACCTCCTCTTTCCACAATTGTAACCAGAGAAATATATTATCTTGTTCAAATACAAATTTTTCTAATTGAATCAGTTGAAATCTATCGAGTGTCTCCTTGAGCATTCGAATAAGTTCTTCCTGTTGTGTGAAGATGCCTAGAAGCTTATGATAAATGCCTTTGATAGGATTGATATCAGAATCAAGTACAAATATGGCCTCAATACTGTCAATAGCATTCATTGTTGCAATTAACTCTTCGTTACTCGACGATGATATGAAAAATACCTTCTCTTTTGAAGCTTGTAATGTGTTCAAACAAGTCGATACGTCAGTATAAGTTCGAACGCTATCATTAATTGCTCGAAGTGAACCAATAAATGGAGACGTTGATAACGATTGCAAGTCTAACCAAACGAATATGATCGATTCACGATTTACTTGTGTGTCCGAATGGGTAGAATACATGTTAGAGGCAGCTATTTCTTCGTTTGATAGAACAGATAAGACAGATCCTGATACCCTTTGACGATCGTTACGATTGCTCATCGTTGATGTCAGATTGGAACGACCACGGTGCGTACGCTGTTGACTCATACTTTGTTTAAATAACTAGAAAAATATCTTTTCATTCATAGAGAATAACGATGAGCTCGCTCAAAAGAGACAAAAAGATCAAAGGAAAAGAAACAAGTAACTTTCATGGTATAGTATATTTGTTTAACTCTTCGATCCTTCTTTGATGAACAAATGTTCAACTATAAGATCCTCTTTAATAATCGAATTCTATCAAATGAAAAAAATAAAACAATTATCTATATATATATAATATTCAGTGTCTGTGTGTGCCTGTGCCAGGTCAAATATTAAAGGTCAAAGGTCAAATAAGGCTACAAGGAGGTCAGGCTATAAGGAAGATCGCTATAATATGTAAAGCTATAAGGAAGTAAAGCTGTAGGGGAGCAGGACTATAAGGGGGTAAGGTTATAAAGAGTAAGGCACTAAGGAGATAAGACTACAAGGAAGGAGCGTTATAAGGCGGAGACTCTCCAAGGAGCTTGGGCTACAAAGAATAAGGCTATAAGCGGATAAGGCTAAAGGAATTCTATGTATATAATGTCGAGTGTTTGTGTGTCTGTTACCGAGTGAAAGATTAAAGTTTAGAGGTTGTACGTTAAAGAAAAAAACTCTGCCATGCAGTATGCACGGATTCTCGCTAGTCAAAGGATATTGTTCTGATTATTTTTTCAATGAATAAAACTTTTCGAGAAATTTCGAAAGATTTTTTTTCAATAGAATCTATTTCCAGTAATCCAAAAAGGGAAAATGAAAATCTTTTACAATTGAAATAATTATGTTATAGCAAATTGTTTTTTCAAAATTAGATAATCAAGTAGTAAAAGCTTTTGAATATTTTACTACTTTTAATGGAAATCGGTTTTCTTTACTTTCTAAATAATTATTTTATAGTGATTTGTGATGTTAATCATACGTAACTCACTACCTTTTTTTTTCAATTCTTTAACGATGAATCAGCTAAATAAACTATGATTACTCAACTACGAACAATTTCTGTTTTTTTGATTCATTCTACAAATTTACGAATAGAACTATAATTAGTGCAACCTATAGAGTTTAATACGAAAAAGTCAAACTCAATATGAAGTCTCTTTTTAGTTGAAACTTTAGTAAAAATATTCAAAAATATCTTCTAAATGTTTTGTTCATTTATATTTTGCATTAATATTTAGTTAAATCTTCAGTAAAGTATCGTCATATGTTTTTTTTTCGTTGACAGCAAGAAAGACGAGAAGATCTTAAACGTCAAAAGTCTATCTCAAATGTTGAAATCATTCACTTTTATTAAACTTTTATAACATTATGTTTGTAATTGACTATTTTTTCATAAACAAATCTTGAAATATTATATTCAATCTATTATCGACGTCAAAAATTCAAGTCATTCAGATCTTTTTCATCTTAATTGTGATAGGAGTAAAATAGAGATCCATGATCTTCACTATACAAATGAAATCATTGGAGAGCATCATATTAGAAAAATTTAATCTAGTTCTTCGTGAATATATGTTATGAATGATATTCTGAAAGCACTTTTCATTCTACTGTTGCTTTTAATATGAGTATTCAATAGGATAGAATATTCTTCGTTGATCTATACAAAACTAATACTTGTATTTTGTTCGATTTCACTGTTATAAAGACTTTCCAAAGATCCCTGATAATAATGAAATCATCTAGAATTACGCGAAAATAGTTCTAGAGGAAGTTAATTGATCATATTAAGTTTAGTAATGAAGTTTCTTTATAATTCCAAAACGATCTAAACCTATTATAAGAAGATTTTCGAAACATCGACTATTTAGGATCGATAACAGAAAAATCTTGAGATCATCAAAAGTTTTTGATCTCTTTGCAATGGAATAGAAATTTTAACAATCAACTTAACCCATGTATTCGATAATGATCGATTTACGACGTAATTATAGGTCATAGTGTGATCACCGCAACGCTGTAATTGCGTCGCAGTTGCTAAAAAAGAAACGACATGAGAGTATGATCAATTATCCATCTATGGAAAATCCTCATAACGCTGAAACAAAAACAAACTAGAAACATTAGCTTCGTTTAGATCAAAAAAAAAATTTTTTTTCCCTATCGAATACTCATACTAGAAGCAAAACTAAAATGAAAAGTGCTTATAGAATATCGTTTTCAATATGTTTATGAATTTTCATTTGTTTAAAACAAATTATCATTGGAAAAATTTTTGAGGACGAGTCGACATTCAATTCAGAATGTTTTGCAAGGCAATCATCAAACCTGTACATAATACGAACAATGTCACTTACCACTAAGATTTATTTTATTGTTGTCAATATAAAAAGATAAATTAATACCTTGATTTTCGAACCGTACTAAATGCACGAAATAATAAAAATCGATGTTTTTCTTCTCCAACTTTTGTTTTATTTCGATTCTTTCACTTAGTATATCACTGTGTAGAAAAATTTTCAAAAGTACCCAGTGCATTTATTCAATTTTGAGAACACAAAAAAAAAATTCCATCGTTGATGGCAATTGGTAAACATGTGTACAGTAACGTGAAATACACTTTGGCTGCATCTATTCAACTTTGCCAATAAAAATGAACGATTTACTTCTCGAAGAATCTGAAGGACGAAAAATAAAGAATTAACAGAATATTGCACTTATATAATTTGTATTTCGAACTTAATCAAGTTAATAAATGAACCATCTATATGTTGAAGTACACTAATGAAGATAATCATTATCAAACATGTCGAGCTTATTTCTTTTTTTTTCATCTATGTGACAAGTTGAATAAAAATGTGAATCGTTTCTTAGTTGATCATTTTAAAAGAATTATCTCGTTTCATTCACAATGTTCTGATACAAACTCAATCCATTTTAACAAAAACACATTAATGCATTTTCAATTAAAAAAAACAAACTTTTCTTTCTATGCATCTGTCACGTCTACCACTGGCAATATTGAGTGATGTCAAGAAGTGAACAACATTGTTTACCATCACAAAATCGATAGCGAATTCATTTATGTAAATGTCATCAAAAAACAATGTCGATTGTGTTTTTGCTAACTGATATGAATGTATATTTCAAATGCAAGTCGCCACATCACCTAACCAAAAATTCGACGACTATTAGGCTTTAAAAAAAAATGAATACAATTCATCAGTTCTAAAGGCATTGATCTAACATTGACCCACTTTAAAGAAGACATTAAAAAGAAACCGAATGCTTATAGAACAAGACAATAGAATGTATGATGTAACCAAAGAGATTAGATCAATCAAGCAGGAAGTATAGAACTTTGTTTTTGTTATCGGAATCTATGATATGTTTGAATTCTTACATCCAAGTCAATAAGGATAGTACGATACAGTGTTTTTCAGTGTAGCTTTTATAAATAAAAACTTGAAAAATATCGTTATAGTTAAAAGAAAAAAATCAGTTCATTTGATTAAAATATAATGAAATACTTGTTTTTTTTCCTAGAATAGCTTTTTAAATCAGAAAGAAAATGATAAATTCTAATATCCTATCATTTGTATGTTTGATAATCGTGTTCTATCAAAAAGATATCTGTTGTTTCGTTCGATGGATTTACTTATCCTGTGATTATGTTAATACTAACAAGTATCCCAATCATGTTTGGAAACTTCTCTATTATCGGTTAGATAAATGTTGAAGCATTTGATTGTATGCATATCGATGTCGCTTCTCTTTCTTATTGGAAAAGATCAACAAAAATCTAACTATAGCTTTATTTGGTTTAGATATGTCTATTCACTTGCATTAAATTAAAAGGTTTCTATCTTTTCATCAAAATTTTACTTGTTTATCTATACCCAAACTTGAGTTTATAAGTTTCGATTACTTAAAAAAAACAGATTTCGTGTCTAGTGCAACAATCTAGATGATTAAAACGAAAACTAGATGGGTGAATCTGACATTTATATATGAAATATTATGCCCACTTTATTTACATGGAAAACGGAGCCGATATTGCTTTTTTCAAATGTAGTATTGAGTTTTTATTTGAGCTATTCTTCATGTTAAAAAATCTTCTCGAAAGAGTTGCTTTATAGCACGATTGTGTTTGTCAAATTAATGAGCAAAAACTGGACTGTATTTTACAGATCAGTATACAAAGCTCGAATTCGTTTATTGCGGGAGTGAGAGTAAATGGAGAGGATTTCTTTCGATTGTAAGAAAGCAAAAATTTCGGATCAAAATTGTATTTTTATATTTTTCGTAGAAAAAGTCGATCCAGAATGCATTAAAGACAAAAAGAAAGGTAACACATAAAAATAATTGATAAAATTTAACAGTAATCATGGCTCGATAGATATTTGACAGATATTAGAATCATTCTTTTTATTTTAGCATTAAACGAAAGGGAGAAAGAAAAAAAGAAATCAGCCTCACGCTAAATGAACATTGTTAGTTAGTGCACACAACAATTTATCGTAATTGAATAGAAAACTATCAATAGACACACAAAAAGATCTAAATCGGACGTTTGAAATGAATTCTTCCATCTTTTCCGTAGACGAAAAATGAGCATGAAAAAAGCAGATGATTCACCAAGTGTTTTTAAAGTTATTTGTACATTGAATTGATACTTAAAAATATGTAGAAAAAAAACGACATTTAGAGAACTAACAGCGTTTCGTCTATATTGAAAAACATTTAGCACTCGTATATCACTAATGATTTCCGGTGAGGATGTGTAAGTGTTATCTTCTGTTCGTCCACATTCATACCGAGCAGGCTTTGAATCGGGCCAGCAGTGTTCAGACTTTCGAAAAAGGAAATTTCAGAAGTTTCGAAGATTTCAAGTATTTGTGTTCTGAATTTTGCGTTACTTCATAAAATGATGCAATTGCAGAAATTTCTGCAATTATGTACTTACAGAAATTTCTGAAATTACAGAAATTTCTGAAATTTCCAATATGTCTAAAAACTTTTGATTTGCACTGCTATATAGTCATCGAGCTGATGAAAATTTCAGAAATTTAGGTCATTTTCTTTTTTGGAAATCTGAACATACCTCAATTGAACTGGCTGGATTACCGAACCATTCCAATTGAATTTTTCAAAGTGGCCAATTTCAACCAATTTTTTTTGATTTTTAGGACGCTGAAGCTAGTCTATTTTGCTCATTTTTATCAATTGTCACTATGTTAAAGATTTATAAATATGAGTCTGAAAATCTCCCATTGAAAAACTTTTTACGCAGTTGTCATCAAAGCTTTAACTCTAAACTTTGAATTCACGCTTTCTCATCTTACAACATGAGTCTCAGATCATGCTGAACGAATTGTATATGAAGTCTAGTATAAAATCCAAACTTTGGCTGATGTTGTCTTTCTATCGGCAGTAGAAGTCTCATGCGAATTGTGAAGTGTTTTGATTGTTCTAAATAATGATTTCAAATAAGAAAATATTAAACTTATCCATTCCTGTAAAGACACAATATCTTTATTGAAGAAAAGCAAGCAAAACAAAGCATAGCTATGGCTCAATATAACTTTTCTTATGAGTTACTGGATGAAAAGTTTTGAAAGAACTCTTTCTTTATTCTTAGTATTAGTGTATATGGAAAACGGCAGACTAAAATAGAAACTGTTGCTACTAGAAACTTCAACAGTTATATGAGTATCACATTGTATGTCTTCATGGAGCTCTATCGATAGACTTTTTCTCAAAAGGACTATTATCTATCTCAAAAAAAGAATGGGCTCGCTTGTTTGTTGAATAAATCGGCAACTCTGATAGTTATCGAGCTCGGGTTTTCATCGTTAAAAAGAGCATGAGTGGAGATACAAGTCTACCTCAGCATAAAAATACTTGAAAAGTTTTCTAGGAAGTTTCAGATTTTTTTGGAAAACCACTATCTGATCTGCTTGTTTAGATGTATTTTCAAGCGAAATTGAAAACCCAATATGTTGATAAAGGAACATCTCTTTTGTCTAAAATTTTTACAATATTCTATGGACGAATTTTCAGATCGAAATTGCATAATTTCATTTTCTAGTAAATACCTAGGAAAGGGTTGGAACTTCAGTAAAAACGGTCATCATTTTTTAAGAACAGGTCGAAAGCGCCTAAAAATTTCGAGGTTAATAAAATAGACATTAGGCTACAGTATGGCTAAATTCAAATTGAAAAAATAGCTAATCAAGCAAATGAGACTGATTTTCCAAAAATTCCTGAAACTTCCTAGAAAGCTTTTCAAGTATTTTGATTCTTAAGTAGACTTGTACACCCACTCATGCTCTTTCTAACGGCGAAAATCCAAGATCAATAGCTATCAGCATTGTCGACTTATTCAACAAACAAGGGAGTCCATTCCTTTTTGAAATGGATAATAGTTATTTTATTGATATGTTAAATGGATCGATTTTTCACCGGTTGAATGCTGTAGTCGAACGAACCATTTATTGTTAGTTAAGCGAAGAATTGAAATTTTGAAAAATTTTTAATATGGGTCAGTGTATTAAAATGATGTTAAGTATAGTAGAAAGATTAGAATCAATTCTTATAAGTCAAGGTAAAAGAATTCTTAGAAGTGATTATTGATTATTTTCGTCATCTGGCAATTATCGTTTTTATTATAATTTAGCTTTAATGCTAAACTCAATTTTACTTTTGTTAACAATAAAAATATAAGAAAAAAGGACAAAAACAAAATTAATTTGATAGAATGTTTTTTTCAAATATTTTTTCCAATCTATCACTTGTTTGCGATTAATGTAAATTGATTATAGTTTCTGTTGAATGATAGTTTAAATGTTATTCTTCAAATATATAAATCAAATATCTGTTTTAACTTTTGAATATGATCATGATGCAAAAAATAAAAAATAGAATTTCGACTAATGAAACACGAACCATAAGCTATTACCAAAATTGTATAATAATGATAATTGCTACAATAAAATAAACAAAACATCCCATAAAACCTTCTCCATTAATTTTCCATTGTTCACCAATCATCCATCCTGGTGTATTTGTATAAATTGATCCTAATAGTCGAGGATTAATTTGATTCCAAATGAAATGAATCATTGTAGGTGGTATCATCGAATATTGACATTGAATTGCAATCCATCCATAGAAAAATGCTGAAATCCAACAACTCATACATTGAACAATAATTGTACGAATAGGATATTGAACTTTCGATTGTGAATGATAACATAATAAAATCATAACAGGTACATGATATAAACCCCATACAATTCCACTTATATTCAATGCTACTATTGGATGAAAATGAATCAATAAACCAGGTAAGAGATAAGACCGCCATCCTATTTCTTCTCCCAGAGCTCGTATCCAACCACATATCAAATAACGATTATGTTGATGTACCGATAGAGATTTCTCTTTTTTTGAACAGAATTGACCCCAACCGATTAAATAATTTATTAAACAACAAATAACGATTGTAAAAATAGAAATTAAACTACCGACAATGGACCAATAGATGGTCGACCATTGTGGATTAAATAATAGAAATGAAATAAAACGGATAAATGAACCATGATAAATATGAATACTTATTGCAAATAGACTTGGAAAGAACATGGCTAAAGCAAGAAATGTAAAAGATCGATGTCGATAAATATAAACCCATAATCCAGTAACAAATAAAGTAAGAAATATATGAGAAAATAAATCAGTAATGGATGGTGAAGGAAAAAATGAAGAATCAACAGATGCTATTAAACCCATTTTGAATCATGTGAATAAGATCTACATATGATAACAAGCACATCTATTTTTTATCTTTTCCTATGTCATGCTGATATCATCTTACTTGTTCCCTTAACATAAATTGAATGTAATTATATTTCTCTTTAGTTAGTAGAAACGCAATTCTTTTTTTTTTTGCGTAATTCATCTTCATATTTCAAAATGATTTTTTTATAAATGGAAAGAAAACCAATAACGCAATCATGATGTAAATATGTTTTGCATTCTATGTATGTAATTTTACATTGCTCTCGAACAACGAAATGCTTCTATTACCCACGCACACGTGTTAGATATAAAGATGAAGAAAGAAAAAAATAGAAAGCAAAAAAAGCAAACCGACGACTGATATTTGGTAGACTATGGAAGTAAATAATCGTTTTCAGCTTCTTACTTTTCTGTCTACCGACAAAGAGTCAGAAAAATCTTCTTTTATCGACCTGATTTCATCAGATCAAATATCAGAAATAAATGACAAACAACAAACAAAAAATCATTGGGATGTACCAGAATATGTCGAAAAACCAATTCCATCTTCATCAGTACCTATTACACAAGTACAAACATCTCGAATTATTAAAAAAACTAAATCCTCTGTTAACGTTACAAATACAAAATGTGACAAACAAGATGAAGTTAAATCATCTCCGATTATTGAAGAACAAAATCAACCTACAACTTGTTCATATTATCCACCTCAACCTTACAAATTCAAGCAAAATTAATTGAGTGAGTAAAATATTAATTTGCAATAAATCATTTTAGTCAAAAATTCTCATATTATTAAGTGAAATATTATTTGAAATTAATTAAATACATAAGAAAACAATTTGTAAAAATGTTCATTTTCACAAAAAAAAACACACTCTTCTACTTGTTTATTTTAAAAATGTCATATAAATCAGTATTTTCTATTTGAATAGATCAACGTAATCAAACAATACCAAAATTTAATCGAAAAATGAATGTTTTACCAAAACATTCTTCGATCCGAGGTAATAGCAAAGCATGTACACATCAAATATGATCGTTATTTCCATTAATTGACTTTATGGTTTTTTCTTATCTTTTCGATCGTTTTAATATCTCGAATAATTTTTACATCTTATGAATTTATACAATAGAGTATTTCATTAATGTCTGTAACTTTTTCACAAGATGATTGAATCATGTACATATCGAATTAACTTCTCGATTAACAATTGTTTTTTTCTTGTCTATAATACATTTATTTACATATATTCATTATTTTGGTTTTTAAAAACTAAAGAAAACGATACGATTTCAATTTCATCAAATATGAAACATAGTTTTTCACTTTTTCGGTAATTTATTATTTGTTATGTATGATTATTTTTACACGATTTATTTTACGACGATGACAGTAACTCCAATATTTGATGATGAATATAAAAATGTCATGGGAAAAATGAGAAACAACATAAAGATTAGAGACGAGAACATTAAGATTCGAAATTCATTTTGAATCTTATACTTTTTGTATTATGTTTCGATTATATCCAATCATTATTTATTGAATAATAACTGACAAAATTATTTTTTATTTTTTATTTTGCTAAGGTATGTAACACTCGGAAGTGCTTACATAGAATTTAAAGACAAGTACTTTGCGACATTAGAACCAAATATAACAAGTATACGCTGAACGTTTTAACATTCGTCATTGTCTTAATACCGATGCCCTTGACGGAGTGATGGTGTTGATAGAAGGATGGGAATGAGAAATTAGAGAAAGACAAGGAAAATAAAAGAAGGGAGAGAAGAAACGACGAAATCGAAAGAAAAAGAAAACCAAAAAAGAAACAGAGAAAAAAAATAATAATGAAGAGAGAGAAAGAGAAAGGGAAAAAAGAGAACTACTCTACATAAAGAGAGACATGATAAAATGAAAAGAACAAAAGAAAAAGGAGTACCACATTTGTACTAATTTGTTTCAACGAAACTCAGCCATTTCAAAAGGAACGACTCGTATCGATCTACTAGTAATCGCACACGTCGCAAACGAAAAAATTGGCCCAGGTGATCATTTTTTCTTTTGTAAAATTCACTCCACACGAATATGTCATTATAAAAAAGTGAAGATCCAAGATCTGTTAAATGCATTGTTCTCAATCTCCTTTGGACGTACTTTTTAACATAGAATTCTAAGGAGAACTCTGAAGTTACAGTGAAAAGATTATGTGCGGGGACGAAAGGACAGCGATACACCAATCTAAGACCCATACGAAATTTCTGGTTCAGTATTTGTTTCTGCGATTCTGGTAACAGAGGATAGAAGGGAAATAACCATGCAAAGTGAGGAAATGTATATGCGAAGAAGCATTGACGGAGTACTTTAGATGACACGATTCTACCAGACATTAACCACTTCAGCTTACCTAAGGATCTTTGCATATTCGCGATGCATTTAAACTGACAAAATAATAACGTCGATATATAAGAAGACAACACCCGTATTTATATTTCCATTGTTATTGATTCTCCTAGATCAATATCACTATCAAGTATAATGCACATAGGAACCAGATTGGTAGTTTCATTATTCCAGAAATTAGCATAGAAAATGTGATTGTCCTTATCAAATATAAATTAGACAGGGCAAGAATTTAAACAATTGTTCGACTGATTATGACTCTCTATATTATCAGTATAATCAAGACAAGAAAGATGATATATGTGTGAAAAACTCTAATTAAAATTTTCAATGAATAAATACATACGGCATACCAAAAGTTCTGGTCACGGCGTTTAAAGGATCTTTTCAGATAAAGAGACCTATTCAAAAATGAAAAACCAAATATCCGATGTTGTAGAGCTTTTCAAGGCGCATCGAACGGTATATAGGAAATCTTGTTTTCATAGGACTTCGAAGGATCCAGACAGAGATGCATAATATGCTGTAAAAAAGGAAAAATTCTCAAAATACTTTCAACTAATATTAAGGACCACAATATTCTGAAACGTATCATGCTTGGGTGTGGATGTATTGTCATCTATCAGTAAATTGACTCTAGTTTCTTGAAAGTCTTATGAAAATAGGATTTCCTATATACCATTCGACATACCTCAAGAAGCTCTGCAACATGGGATACTGTTTGGTTTTTCATTTCTCAAATAGGTCCCCTTATCCAAAACATCCTTTAAACACCGTGATCAGAACTTTGGATATGCCCTAAATATTATAATCTTTTACTATTCAAAGGAATTCGAAAGCTTTATTCGAGTATTTTAATAGAAAACTCTTTTCTACAGATTTAATATCATCTAGAAAAAATTAAAAAAACTAAAACAAAATCTTCATCGAGTGTTTCTGTGACAGAAATACCCATATTAAAGGTAGTGTTCTCTAGTGAAATACGCATTGAGTGATCAATAATACTCGATATATCTACTCGATCAAGTTTTCAACCTTTTATTCCAATGACTAAGTTGTTTTTTGTGCAAATCTAATGTGTATGAGATATACGAGTACAATCAATAGAAAAAGAATATCCAGAGTAATGTTGTCATTCTTCATTCACATTATGCAAAGCAGCTCTCCAATGGTCTTATGTATTTTGTTTTCTTCAAACAATAACTTATTCCCTATGGTCGACAGATACACATCAAGGAGAATTATTCTATTAGAGCAAAGGAATATATTTTTTTCCATTGTTTTCTCACAATAGCTGGCATGTTTTTCTTTCTCTATTGAACCTGCAGAATACCGACAATTATTGTGACTGTCATCACTTGTTATTGGACAAAGAATCAGAAACGTATTGGTGTGAGTTACATAACAAGATAGAAAAATCCAGTTGACATGAAATATGATCAAGCATACCTTTATCTTATTATAAAACATGAAAATATCAAATATTTATCAAATAAAGAAGAGAAAAAATTTTAAAAAACAGGATGTTAAGAGGCACATATCTATGCGACGTATTAAATCAATGTATATTTCCTCACTTCGTATTCTTGTCAAGTTATCTAATGTGGATAAGATGTCTAATGATGGCATAATGTGTTATTTCTTCAGAAAGTAATAGTCTAACAAATCTTCGTGAAATATCAAAGACTACCCTTTTCCAGTAAACTTTTCCCAATCTTTTATATATTACTATATGTTCACATGTAATCAAAATTGGAATCATTTATTTATGGTCCTAGACTACACATATAAATATCAACAGTCTCAATAATTAGTTTATATGCTATACAGTTCCTGAAAGCAACAATAATGTCGATCTTTTCAAGACAATTATTTAATATGAAGTAACTAAACAAGTACAAACAAATAACGATAACCGTCAAAGTATCTAGAAATTCTCAAGGGGAAAAAGCAGACCTTTGTACTTCATGGTACTTCTAGAAACTTCTCAGTACTTCTGTCTAACTCTACTCTCACTTATACCTTTTTACCGGTTTTACTTTATATAAATGCTCATATTATTCCATTAATTTTTAATATCTCAATTGAAATATTACTTGAAACATATGAATAACATAGAATCACACATAAGAAAATAGAAAATAAAATAGAGCGATCAGGATAAATCAGAAATCCATAGGAATAGAATTGTACTGCAGTGCTTCATAAAAACAATCTGGCCATTCCTTTGTGAATCATTTGAGTCATATTAATCGCTACTTAATAATATTATGTATAGTAAAGAAGAAGAACAGTGTACATACGTAACTTCGAGAAAAGATAACTATACGAATACATAGAGGTTGGTTTTGCTAAAAATTACAGACGACGAATAGAGTAAGAATGTTGTTATGGATGTGATTATGGACGCGGTGTTGTTAGCTCTATATGTATAGATGTTGTGTGTGGGTTTGAGATATGTGAGAATATCCGTATCCACATTCTCACCCACATCCTACACCCTCACCCCACCAGAACCCTTTCCGCACAATTTGAAAAAGCTTATATTTGGCTAAAATTTCCATTCTCTATAGGTTATTGATACTGTCGATAACTTATATAGCATGAAAAGTTAAGCGAAATAGGAAAGTATGGATGCGGGTGTCGTTTTGTTTACTCTATTGAGCTACATTCCCATACTCAAGAGAGTAAATCATAGACAGAAGACACCGCTCGCGGCAGTGAGATTGAAATTTTTGTTGTCACGTCATACACACATAAACAATGCACACCCTCACAAGCTCAAAATGGTGTAAAAAATTTGTTTATATTTATAGAATAATCTATTATTTCATTATATAAAATACTGGTACTGTAAAACTATTAATTATGTGGAGTTTTCATAAATCTCCTTCTCCATTTTTTTTTGCTCTTTTTTATGTGATGTGCTTTATAGATTATATATAGTGATTTATTTTATAATCATCAAACTAATTCATAAAATTTTTTAATTGCAACCAATGCCTTGTCAAAATCGTCAGCGCTTACACTCAATACGAATCGACAATATCCTTTAATTCCAGTCCATATGTCATTATTTATTAATAGACCTGTTGTATAAAACAATGCTTCGTGAATATTGCTTCCATTTAGAGTATAACTGAATTTTTCTGATGAACTTGAAACTTCAATAACCTTATTAAAATAACTAACAGGTGAAGCAATCATGAAAAGACCACCTTGTGATGGCAAAATTTTCCAACCACATTCTGTAAGAGTTTTACTTAGCCGATCAGCTCTTGATTTCAATGTGCATCGTTGTTCTTCAAGTGTTTTAAGTAAAAATGAATCTTGTTTATTTAATAGTCCATAAATCTTTTTGCAAGCATAAAGCATTGTGGAGTGTGGCTGGTTATTCAAATATTTGTTTATCCCGTCAGAAATCAGTTCGTTTTTTGTTACCAAATATCCAAAACGTAATCCAGCACCAGCAAATTCTTCTGAAATTCCACCTAGAACAGCGTATTTTATTTTACCATTGTCAAATAATTTATCTAATCGATATGTTTCAACAGATTGTTCAAATTCTAAACCCGAAAAAACGGTATCTATAATAATAGTAGCATTCGAAATTCCTGGAACACTTAAAATGGCTTCAATTTCAGATGCTCCATATCTTGCTCCTGTTGGATTTACCAATGGAAAATTTAAAACAATCCAACAATTTGCAGTGTTGTTAATTATTTGTGATAGTTCAGAAGGTAATACTTTAAATTGATTATTTTCTGAAGTTGAAATAATTTTTATTGGTGCATTAAAATACATTGCTGTAGCATAAAAATAACCATAAGTACTTTGTGGAAAAACCAATATTCCCTGTTGTTCCATACATGTTCGTATCAATGCCGAAAATAGTGGAGCAACTCCCGTTCCAAAATGTATTTTTAATTTATCACTTGAATTGATACCAAATCTTGATTTTAATAATGTTGAAATTTCAGGTAATGCATCAATTTCTTCATTTGTAATGTTTTGTCGAATAAAACTTTCAAAAATAGAAGTTTTTAATGATTTTGGACTAACTAATTTATTTTCACTCTTATCTAATCTTATTGTATTTTTTGTTATTGGAAGTTCATTGATTTTTATGCATGGATGATTGAATGATTCCAAAACATTATTTCTCAACATGATGAATTTTTTTTCGAAATCAACAGTTTCCTTAAATAAACCAGCTTGTTTCCAATTTTTTCTTACATTTACCATTTGAAATTTAACTAAATCAAATAATAATTCCGAATAATAAAGTTGTGAAAACATTGGTGTTCTGCTGTATGTAAGTCCACCACTATAAGCAAGTGTTTCAATCATGTTTTCGTTTTGCGTTAATAAGAAACAATCTTCTAAATCTGAATAAACTTTATTTTTTACCAAACCACAGATAATAGCAACATGATTAGGAAGATTATTTTTTGATAAATAATTTAGAATACCATTATTTTTAGGAGAACTGCTCAATTCAAAGTAAGCTGACATATCCACAAATAAACGTGTTCCTTGTTGTTCAGTAACTGAAATAAGTGATGCAAAACATTCGATCGATTTGCTTTGTAATTCATTAAAACTGAAAAATACTACTTGAGGTTTTAATTTTATAATTAATTCTTCTAATAAAGTAGATGATTGAGGAACTTCAAGCAATATAAAATTTTTGGATTCATATTTTCTCAAACCTTTAGCATGATCTGTATCAGCCAAAATCAATGAAGCTGAATAAACATTAACAATATTGCTAATTAACGATCTTATATTTGGAGCAATTAACAAATGTTGATGTGTAAAACTTGTATGATAATAGGAATTTAAATATTGAGCAATTCGTTCACGAAATATTGTGTCGCCTTTAATTTCGCCATACGGAAAAAATGGCATGTTGTTTAATTTTTGAGCAAGAGCTGAAAGAAATTGAATTTTTTCTTCAGCAATGCTTTTATCATTAAAACACAAATCTAATCCATGCAATGCTTCTTGATAATCAACATCTTTTAATAAACTGAAAATATTTCTTATTGAATCTAAATTATGAAAAGTACATTCATAAACAGTTAATGAATGACAAATTTGTCCGCCAGCATCCACGTAATATTTTGCAGTTTTAGCAGATATGGGTTCGTCGGAATTCAAACCCATATAAAATTCAAATCTAATTGGTGATTGTTCTTCTATTTTTATCATAGGAGTAATATCTGTGTCACTTGCCTGTATTACTTTTCTCTGCCATATTTTCTTGATATCAGCTCCTCGTCGTTCAAACAATCTTTCCAATATTTTTTGACCAGGACGACCACCCATATTGAAAATTAATTTTCCTCTGGATTTAATCAAATCAATACCTTGTTCGAATGCTTTGGCTATTAATCCCAAGCCAAAAACATCTTCAACATAACCTTGTTTGGCACAATAATTACTATATGAATATAATAAATCATCATTTTGATTTTCATTTATTATTTCATCAATAGTAAAATTTTCTGGATAAAGTACTTGTGGAATACATCCAAATATGACATCGAAATGAAAAGGTTCTTTATTAATGAAATATCCAAGTAGATCTGATTCATAAAATTCAATTTTATCAATTAAATTTTCTTCATTCAAGTCATCCTTAACATCATTGGCTTGATCATCTAATACATTTAAATAAAGATTTATTTTCGAACAAATTATTGCTCGTGGATTAATATCTAAACCAAATATTTTTCGTGGTCCAAATTTTTTTGCCATTGCAATGGTTATCCAACCGTTACCACAGCCTAATTCAACAAGATTTTTATTTTGAAATTCAGCAGCATCATATCTTGATAATCCTTCGAAAAATGTATATGACCATTCTTCAGGAGTGAATGTACTTGGAAAATGTAATAAATTAATTAATTCACTATGGTCTTTATTATTTGAAATATCAACCGATAAAAATGTAAAATGAAATGATTGTATAGTTGCTTCGTTAACCGTACTAAATCTTTCTCGAATGTAATTTACCAATTCCGTTAAAAATAAACGAGCTTCTCTCCGGCTGCTTTTGTCTTCAAGTAAACGAAGAACGACCTTGAAATTTTCAAAAGCCTGATAGCTTGATTGTTGACACTGCTCGACGAATGTATGTAAATTGAACATTGGAGTTGAACAGGATTAAGTTTGACTTGATTGAGCTAAATAATTAATCAATTGTTACAAGTAACGCTCATCAACAGATTTGTTGACTCTTTTCTGAAAGGTAACATCTTATATGTCTAAAGTAATTCTAGTCTAGGTTTTGTAATATTTATTCAATTCTCGATATGATTGATCCATTTTACCTAATGCGCTCATTTATCGTCAAGTATTGGGGATCATGTTCATGAAAACAGTTTCAGTATGTTACAATATGAAAAAATCACGTAGAAAAGAGCAAGAAGAAAAACTTTCACAACTCTACCATAAAAAGTGTTTCTTCACACTCTTTATTTTTGTACCAAATGCATACTTTTGTCCTAATTTACTTTGCCTGATCTATTCGAAAAGCTGACACTGTGAATTTGGCAAATCTAATAAGAATGTTTCGGTGTTGAAAAAAGATGTATTACAAAAAAAAAAAAAGAAAAACAAAACTTTGTATGGCCTTCTTCTTGTCCCAAAATTTAAGTTCGGTGTACTGTTAATAATAATTATAAAGCCTTCGTATCATAAACACGTAAAGGTTTATTATATTATGGCCTCCTTTACAGAACGGACTTCTTACGATCAAAGACTCTATGAAAATCAAAACACAACTAAGGAGCAGGTTGCTTCAATCATACTCTACCAGTGCAGAGTATCGCTACTCCTTTACCTTGAGTGATGCAAAAGTGCGTGCGAAAATGTACAAGGTGTGTAAATTTAAAAGCAAATTACGATTGAAAGAAAAAAAAGATAAGCTTTGTAAAAAACTTGTGTCGTAGTAGACTCGTGAAAGAGACGTAAAAGAAAAGCGAAAAATGCTGCTATCAACTAAAGCCTCTCGCACCATATTGGTTGTCTTATCTATGTATCAGTGATTCTTAGCCTTGGTTGGATAGAAACACTAGATCGGAATCAAAACTATGGTAAAAAAAAATTGTGATGAATTATGTAATTCATCAAGGTGATAGGCAAGGTGTGGATGTGAGTGTGAATGAAAGAAGAAGAAGACAGTTTTCTGCACACCCACACCCACATCCACAGCTCACATAGTCATCATCAGATATGTTCGAAATCAAAATACTAGGTCAATATAACTTAATATTGTAATTAACTTATATGATAGTCGAATGATCACCAATAAAATTAGTTACAAATATGTAAAATCATCAAATTAAGCTATATATAAGTCGTAGTAACTCTTTAACAAAGGGTATTATTAAAGATTTTCGAGATTGAAAGCCTCATACGACGCGTTTCTACCTTGCTTAAGGATCTACATCAGGTATGTTTACAATCTATTATTACATATAAATTTAAAACTCTCCAAATAAGGGTGTATCTCTAAGTCGACTGCAATTCGAAGAAAATTATAAAACGATTATTATAAGATCATTGCCAAGATTGACTAAGAAATATGTAGGATTAGCTATGATCGCCGAATACAAATAACGGAAAACAGGATTTCGTATTTACTGAGCGATCATCAGGTTCAGATTAAAAAATTTTCATTGAAATTATTAAGAGTATGATTCAGATTCAACGTCGAAAATATTGAATCCGATGGATTTTAGATTATGACCATGAGATTTTTAGAAATATATAATATACATAACATTAAAAATACTTTCCAAAAAAAAAAAAAAGAAATTTTATTATCAATTGCCAATGTCCATATATTAGATAAATTATGGTAGAGTCAAGAGAAAGTTCAGGAGGGTCTTAGCACCGGTCATTGCTGCAATTCAAAATTACTAATATTCATTAATAAAAAAAAAACATATAGATATCTTTTGAATAACTTTTTGTGCAAATATATAAAGGTTTACGGTCTTCATCATTGGAACGAGGAGATAACAATGAATCAAATCTTGTATTACCCATTTTCTGGCAAGTTTTTTCTGATTTCTACAAAAAAATACGCTTTTTTTTAGATAGATCGACAGAGCAAACTTCCACTGGAATATCGCGAAAAAAAGACACTTTTCTGCTGATTTTATCGAAAAATTGGCTAATTTCTCACAAGTAAATGCCTACATTTTATTATGAACTGGCTCTAATCATGTTCGCCTTGATCTGTTTTAAAGATCTTTGATCGACAGTTCTAATGCATGTCTCAAAATTGAAAATCCATTGTGGTGACTTCATTCTCTAGATGAATTCCAATATTTATTTTTATCATATGATATTAATTTTCGATTAATATCATATGATAAAAATAAATTCAATTTAAATTTAATCTACCAAAACAACATTATTTTGATGATTAAGTGGTCGTCTACAGTTATAGTTAGATGTCGCATCACATAACTACTATATTGACTGAATTGTATAAATTCTGCTGGTATAGAAATCTTTTCATAGATTTCTAATAGTAGATAGTTTTCTATGAGATTATTTTCAGTGTTTTCATTAATACAATTCGTAACTATCTATTGCAAAGTTAAGTCGATATCTCATTTCAAAGTCCTAGTAGAAATATTTCTGGACTATGTACAACTAGTACTATATTTTTGTTTATCTTCTCACTCAACAGTTCTCATTCAGAAGTTTTTCTTCTTTTTTTCAATAACTGAGACAACTAAATAACAACCATGAAAAATATTTCATGTTATCATTCTAATTCGAACCAAATATCGAAAAATTCGTTGACAAGAAAATAAGATCTCTCACAAAATTGAATCATAATCGATTTAATTTTATACTGAGAACAGATATAAAGAAAATTATGTATTATTTACAATAGAATATACTTTAAAAGAATATGAATAAATGCAAGGCTCGACAATGTTTTTTATGAAAGTTCAGTTTCACTAAAGGTAAGTTCAATTTTTCACTTCAATTTAAATTATACATGATTAAATAGAAAGTTTTTTCCCAGTTAATGTTATATTGTTGATTTCAAAGAAATGTGAACCTTTCCTGTATAGTCATTAATTTGTTATTAATTATCATAATTCAAGATTAAATAACAATTTATTGCTGTAATAGATATAAATTCTGCTAAAATCGTTTTTTTTTGTATCTTAACACAATTAAAAGCAAATTAACTTTAAAAAAAAACTCGCTTTTTCTGCACGGAAATCACTGTGAATCGAGATAAAAGCATATAATGTCACGTGTAATTGCACAACATCAATATGGATATAAATGAAAGCGTAGTTTTCTTTTGAGATGCTCGGTAGAGATGGCTATAATGTCTCGATTACTTCGCTTTGTAAATCAATGGTAGATTATTTTGCCTAAGACAAAAACGTTGCGAGTTCGATCCCCGCCGAAGCACCCATCCAATCGAGCACGCAATCCATCTCTACTTCTTTTTTTTACCTCGCAAACTATCCAAGTGATTTCTTTTATGACGCTCTTAAATATATTTTCTTATAACATTTCTTTGCACAACGACAAACAATCTATAGGTATTGTTTTGTATTTTTTCAATATGTATACTTTCAAGAAAATTGAATTCAGTTTAAATATTCGACAAAATACATCTATCTATGTAAAAGATCTGTTTTATTTTAAACAAATAGTCGAAAAAAATTTAATTTCTTTTATTAATGGAAAACTTGAACAATGTACAAATAACAAACAAAAAGCTATGATT